GGTATTATTTCTTTCTATAAGGTTTGTACAGAAATATTAAGTGCAGTGCACCGTTATATTATTGGATAATAAACTACTTATTCAACGTGTGGTCCATCCTTTTATGTAATTTTGGTGACTCTAAACCATAGCAACCCAAAACGAAACTACCGATAGCGACCAATCAGATTCGTGAAAAGAAGTTTTTATTTTGAAAGGTGAACACCTTGAGCTGCATGATTCACACTAACAGTCAAAGTCTTGGTGAACCGGCGTCATATTTTCATGTAACCATCCTAAATCTTTTCAAGCCCAGGACCATTCAAATTAACAGTTTTCTTTTAAGAAAGCGCTTACTAGGCATACCTAACACATTGCAATCACCACAGTTACTTTACAAACTCATCTGTTGGCTTTCCCTTACACCCTACGTCTGCTTTAATTATCACTTGCACCGTCTAACTTTACCGAACATTAGAATGAGAAGAAATTAAATGTTAAACCCTAAATTAAATCAAAATTCGACCACTATTCACCAGTGGAAGTAAGTATTTTAAGGAGTCTTCAGTTTATTTTTTGGACAAAATGAGTGACGTTACTATTTAAAAGGCTCTTTTAGGCGAGGAAAATAACCATATGCATAAAAATAACGTACTGGAATTAACAGGATGGTATAAATAGTTCACCAACGCACACTGACATAGGGGATTTCGATCACTAATCAAAGTGAAGATGTGTGTGATTGACCGAAACGCATGGCGTCCAACAAATAGGTGGTCCAGCGTTCTAATCCTACTTCAACTAGTCCAACCAAGGCGACTAATCACTATTATTACCTGTTCCAACTAAATGATTTCTAGTCAATGTAATATGAATCAGGTGATAACCTCATGTGTACGAAAGTAGGATAATACTCAATGTCTTGAAGATGATATTCTATTGTGTTCTGTCTGGAAATGTGGCAACTGAGATGTTCTGTATGCTCTAAAGATCATTTAGGTGTTTTTTTTTAACATGAGCACGTGTAGAATATTTAAACACATACACATAGTATTCAGAAAAAGCAGGTTTACCAAAAAGTTTCTGAAATGCAGGCACTTAGGCATTTACTAAATTGAAAGAACTAGTAGCCCGACCAGACTCATTTTGAAAAGAAGGAATGTTCGCTGAGTGTAGAACTTGGGCGTTGTGGTAAAATTTAATTACATATTAGGTAAGCTTATTCAAAATAATAATGTAATGCACTACTAATAACTTGATGACGTTTCGAGTATAATTTATCGCTCGTAATCGTATCAGTGTAGTCACACAGGTCCATAATATGTCTTATATATATATATATATATATATATATATATATATTTCTCTGTCTCCCTCTTCTCCTTGTTGTCTGTTGCCACTTTCCATATCTCCGGTATAGGCGTTGCGTCATTTCGACAAATTGTGAAACCATGTGACTAAACTGATATGATTATGAGCAATAAATTCTGCCTGAAATATCATCCAGTTACACTTAATGCATCACTATGTGTTGCTTCAAATAAACCTATCTAATATGGAACAGTTGGTATGTGTTATAGAATATAAGTGGTCATATTATTTCTTTTCGAGTTGAATGTGGTGTGCACGGTCAGTGTAGTTTAAATTTACCTAGTTTCCCTACTTGTGTAATCGGTGAAATCGCTCTGCTAACTAACCTATCATCTTAGGATGAAAGCACTATTTGCTTAACTTGACCATATTGGCAGGAGCCTATACCTGCACTGACCCATGCAGATAAATCGCTTGAAGTTGTCGATAAACTTATGTATCTGGGTAGTTGCGTGAGTCGTGGTCGTTTGATAGATGGGATTTCTAACAGCATCATGAAAACTGAGTTGGCATACACCGATTTGAGTTACCTCTGGTGCTGTCTCGACGTCACCCTGGCTGTCAAAGATTGGGTTTATAATGCTTTGGTGCTTGCAGTCTTGCTACACACCGGTGAAAACTCTCCTCTCCAGTTTGGCTGAGGATGTGCAGCTACTCTGTGTATTCGATCATCTCTGTCTCCGTGAATTCGCCTGCGTTAGATGGCATCCTCGTGTGAATAATTCGGAGATCCAGTAGCGTGTGTTTTGACACAGTGGAGATCACCAGTTTATTGAGTGTCGTCATCTGGAAACACCGCTTCCTGTGGCTAGGACATTTGATACGAATGTCATCCTAGAGGCTTCTGCACCTATCCCTGTTCGTTAGCTTTGCTACTCGATGGAAAAAGATGGAGAGGTGGTCAGCCTATGATGTAGCATCGTGGGATGAAGGATATTTGTAGCAGACCAGTATCAGTTGATACATCACGACTCTCTGGTTGGTGTCCAAAAGATAGTTTCAATCGCTAGCTTGAAACGTTATCATATATGGCCAAGATTCACAACCATTGGCAAAGATGCTGCAATTTCCTTCTTTCTTCTCTTTTCTAACAGCAATTCGATGCGTGTTGTCTGGTCTTGGTAAATGTAGTGGCTTCCTTTCTGGATAAAGCGCTTTATTCATTCTCTCGATTTTTACTTTATTGGTTTATTATTATTGTGTGACATCTTGGTGCCTATATTATACCGAGTTCTGTGTTTTAAATAAAACCAAAACAAACAAACGCACCAGTTGATATTGATGAAATATTCGCCCTGGTAGTATACCTAAGACTAATTGCAGCATCGGGCCGTCCTCCTTTATAACTGTGAGTGAGACGTGGTCATTGAAAGCAGAAGACATGAATAGCTTGGCCAGTTGTCTTTGATCATAGATGTCTGCGTTCTGTCTCCCATGGTATTTTATTATTAATTATTTTATTCGCTTACGTTCCCAGTGGAATAAATGACTTCAAGTTAGAGCTTTGAAGTTTCACCGACAGCCGTGTTTATTTTTTACGGGATGGGGTTGCTAGCCTTATGATCAACCTTCCCTCTTTACCAGTAGTATTACTGGCTTAATGAGGTAAAGGAGTGAATCGGCCGGGGATCGAACCTCGAACCACCTGCATAGTTGGCGAGCATTCTACCCCTGTACCACCGACAGAAAATCAATCATTGAGGTTGTGAAGTTACATCGATTCAGATGGTTAAGACAAGTGTGACGCATTCCTAGCCATCGATCGCCTTTCTCGACAACTGGCAGTTTTAGCAGATATAGGATGGACCAGAGTGGAAAACAGCAGCTAATGGTGGTTAGAGCGAAACATGGTTTTATCAGTGTATGAAATCCACACCAGTTAGTTTAAGCCAGCCACGTAGGGAGGTGTAGACTGTCTGACTGTCTGGTTAGGTTCCTCGGTATGCTAAGAACCAATGGAGGCGGGAGAAAATTAGTGATATGGCTCCAAATCATCTTTCTCAGTGGTGGCGCAGATGCATTCACTCCTTTTGACTTATACTATGCAATATAACTATATTGTTCTTGCGTATTACTATTCTTTTTCCCTCACTGTCTGCCTTCTGATAAATCTCTCTTTACTCTCTTCTCTTGTTTTGTGTGCACTATATGGAGGGAGAATTGGCAACTCGAACTGCTGCAGTTCTGTGCAAAGGTTTATTTTGAAACTAGTTAGTCAATCAGAACCCTCTATCAAGTCACCTATCCACTAAGCATTGTTGTGATGTTCAACGTGACATTTTGGGCCTATACGTTAGAGTCCTTACTTCAGACGACCAATTGTCAACTTAGCAAGTCTGTCTCTGTCTGTCTGTCTGTTTTCGACATAGAGCTTTGCACAAATGTGCAGAAGTTCAAGTCGCCACACTCCGTGTAGCACGCGAAGCAAGAGAAGAAAGTACAAGAAAAGCATAATAGAGACAGTGAGCAGAGGTGTGAGACAAAGGAGTAATAACGAAGAACAAAACAGTTTCATTGGAGATCATTAGTCACAAGGAGTGGATGCATCTGCGTTAGCCACTGAGAACGATTTTGAGCCATGTCACCAATTAAATTGAATTTTTGATTTTCTCGTCGATTGATTGGACCGAAGTGCTCGGTCTCAGGTTGACATGTCGGCTTCTTGTGCAGATGCTTCGACGATGTCTGGGGATTTGATTTGTGTACATTTGGTGGATGGTGGCTAGCAGTGGAATCCAGGATGCGCATTTCGTCCTATTCGGGACTCGTCAGCTGGATGTACCTGCTTTTCTCAGTGAGTGGTGGCCCAAGTGGTCTAGTAGATAACGCTTTGGCGTTTGAAACTATGGGCACTGGGTTTGAGCCTCGGTGGGAACATCATCACTCACTGAGAAATGCAGGTACACCCAGTTGATGAGTCCCAAATAGGACGAAATGCGCATCCTGGATTCCACTGCTAGCCACCATCCACCAATTGTATACATGTCACCAATTGTTTCCAACCATTTGTTTTTACCGTCCCGAGGACCCCAGCCTGGAAGTTTACACCTTCCTACGTGGCTTAGACCAACTGTTGTGGATTTCATTGACTGGTGAGGCCAAGTTTTTGTTTGACCGCCGCTAGCTTTTTTCCAGCCTGACCCTATATCCGCTAACATTGCTCGTCGAGGGAGGCGATGGCTTGGCATACGTAACACATGTCCTAACCATCTCAGTCTTTGTAGCTTCACGACTTCGTCGATTGATTTCCCCTGTTTACCTAGCACTCGACGCCTAACTTCAATTTTGCTCACCTTATTATACCACTTTACACGGGAGATAGAACACAGGCACCTATGATCAAAGACAGCTAGCCTTTTCATACCCTCTACTCTCAGTGGCCAGGTTTCACTGACAGCCATAAAGGAGGACGGAGCGGACTGATGAGCAGTACACCCACCCTTTGGTCGATAGTCGAACATCTCGTCTACGCCAGAGTCGGCGTAAACTGGCGAAGTATGAATTACAACACATATGATACAGTAGTTTTTTAGAAGTACAGTTAAAAATCCTCTTCAATTTTTAAGGTCTTTTCTTTGTTTAGGGTATATTCTTTACAGATCAACTCCCGTGTATATTATCTTTGATGAAATCACCGAAATCTCTGCGTTATGGCTGCTGATTCTGCTGTCACTATAATACCTATTCTCCAGCAAAGATGTGATACTTTAAGAAGTAAGGTGAGTTGTATTTCCCCGGTGTGTGTTTTCCTGTCAAGTTTTATTTATCTCAGTAACACTGTTTTGTATGTTAGTGGGGGTGCATTTATACTGCATGCTTCGTATAAGATTTTATTATTATTATTCCCTTGGGTTCTGAGTGGAACATAAAGCTTCAACACAGTACATCTTCACCTTTTGTATTTTTCTTTGCAGTCCTTCTTAGCTGCCTCAATGATTGCCCATAGGCTGTCATCTCTTCCGACTCACATAATCTGCATATCATCCTCAAACTAATGCTAAAATCGTCGTTGCCTTTTTGGATTCCAATCGAACGTTGGCTTGTTGCGCAGTGTAGCCCGACCGTTTCCATTTTCTCTAGGATATTATTTTTAGCAATAGATTCATGGTCGTTCGCTTCCAGAGTTTCTCGTTTCTAATTCTTTCTGGTTAGCCGTCAAATCTGCAGTGTGAAGCCAGCGAAGACATCTGTTAATGAAAGTCTGCATCAGGCTGTTGGAAATGCTTTTTGTGACGAGCAGTGGGAGTTTCTGATGCATATAGAAGAATTGAATGACTTACCGTTTGTGTTCTTTGTACTGAGTGCTGATTTGTAAGTGACGAACATCCGCCTTGCTTTTCCGATTCTGCCTTTGACATTTTCATCCTTTCCGCCTGTAGTTCATACGATGCTTGCTGCCTAGGTAAGTGAAGGCAGCGGCCTCTTTCGAATTTCTCCGTTGATAGTGAATGGTGCTTTTTGTTATCGTTTTTGTTCGGTTATCTTCATCACCTTCGTCTTCTTCATGTTCACCTGAAGTTCTATCTTTGCTTCACTACTTCTTCTTACAACTTGTTGGTTTATGCCTGTAATACTTCCAGTTTGTGTAACATTATTCTAGAACGAAATCGTCCGTGAAGTCTAGATCCTCTAGAGTCTTCTCTGTGTGTGTGTGTGTGTGACTCAAACCAACTGCCAAAGACTTCATAGATCGAAACCAGGTTTTTAGTTTGATCACCGTTGACTTCTTTTCTCCAATCTAATCTTATATACCAGCTAGCATCATTGTTTGTTGAGGAAAGCGATGACGCATGTCTCGACCTCTTGTTGATGTTGATTTTGTCATTTTTTTCACTTTGTTTTTTGACGAAAATAAAAGACAAATTCAGCGAACAAAATTTTCTTTATCGACTAAATCATCTTCACAGTCTGTACAGTCGTGTTTATATTTACCAAAATGATGTATAGTAGTCTATTATTGAATAATAGGGGCATGGTGACATAATTGATATAATTACTCAGAAGTGGTTTTAGAAGTAAAAAATAAAAGTTGTAAATCACGTGTAGTCAACGATACAAAGTTAGAAATTTGATAAGGTTAAAATTGCTATTGAGTGAGAATAAAGAGAGGGTGTGACAATGTACAAAAGGAGCATTTGAGTGTGATCATAGTGAACTAATTATTAAAACAAAAGCAAACTAAAAGTAAAATTGAAAATTAAAAAAAGAAAAGTGGATCAATCCACGACATAGCGCGACCAGTAGCCAATGTCTTCGGCGAGTATTTGTCCTCACACCCGACCTGTTGCACCCTACTGGTCACGACTTCTCACTAGAAACCCAGGTAACTACCTACCTGAATAGGGCAAGTCGCTAGTGAGAATTTCATCGATATTCAAGTGTTGGTTTGTAGGGATTTGATTGGTTACAGGATTTCATTATGAGCAGGTTGAAGATGAGACAGTAACTCATTAAAAGAGGCATTGCGAAATGGTCGCTCTCTGTCGTGAATTGGCAGAAGTTAGAATTCAAGGTCCGTTGGATCGGGTCCCAGTGACTTAATGGTCTATGAGCTCTTCTTGTAACCGGAAGGTCCTGGGTTCCAACCCTGACGGTAGGTGCGTACTGATGAAGAGTCCCAAACAAGGCTGATGAAACGGCTGTCCAGTACTCCCAGGTTTTCCAATGGTTCTCTAACCAATGTCAGCTCATGATGAAATCCTGTAACCATTAAAATCCCTACAAACCAACACTTGAAAAGAAAATCAAAATTTTTTTTTTACTGGGAACGACTAGGGAAAAGGTTAAGACTAAGGTAGAATAAGAGACTGGACAAACATTTTCTGTATACACAGTTCGGGGGTTGTATTGACGAATTTCCAGCGCCTCCGCCATACACAAAAGCCGAAACCTGACTTCATCAAGTGTTTGTTTCTTCTTCTCCTTCTTTTGTTCTTTTTGTGAACAGATTGCTGACTTCACCTTAGTCAATCAGGCTTTACAGTTGAAAACCTACCAACTGTTGAATTTCATTAATCGTCATGAAGATTATTCTGGTTTAATTACAAAAGAATACGATGAAGTCTCTAATGATATAAATATTGTCCAGTCGGCTATTGATAAGTATACGTGTGAATTAGAAGATTGGAAAGCTAAACTTGATCAGTATATGATGATGGTGACAACAATGATGTTGAACAACAATAATAATAATAGCAGTAACAGTACTACTAATATTGCTAACAGTAGTACTACTACTACTAATAATGAAGATAATACAAATCTTACATCCTTAATAAACAAAGTCATGATGAATGGTTCACTGTTATCTCAACCGTCATCTTGTCTACAACTACTTACCTCCTCGTCATCATCATCATTGACGAATTCAATTCAAGTGGACAGCAGTCAACCATCATCATCATCAACAACAACAACAACAAGGCCACCGATTACAAAGTTACGTTTACGTGCAAATTTACCGAATAGTCAGTTTACACTGGTAGAAATAAAATCTGGTCAACAGATTAAGCATGCTTTAGAAAAGAAGTTATCACATCGTGGTTTGCATTTAGAACAGTTAATTGTTTATCGAGCACGTACAGGGTAATTTATACTTTTCTTTTCTTTCTTTCTTCTTTTGTTAAACATTGAACTTTTAATTTTTAATTATGATATGAGTAAGGCTGTGAATGAGCGACTCTAGATGTTTCGCTTGCTGCTGATAGTGTCTTATAACCGAAAGTAACTGACTAGTTTGCAACATAGAATTTAGAGAGGTAATAAACAGAAGTGTTAGTGAGGAAAGAACAATAGAGTTTTATTGAATGTAACAAATCACAAAGAGTGAATTCATCTGCGCCAGCCATTGAGAAGGATGATTTGGAGCTGTATCACTAATTGTCTCCCGCCTTCATTGGTCCTTAGCATTCTGAGGACCCCAACCCAACAGTCAGACAGTCTACACCTCCCTACGTGGCTGGCTTAAACTAACTGGTGTGGATTTCATACACTGATAAAACCATGTTTCGCTCTAACCACCACTAGCTGCTGTTTTCCAGTCTGACCCATCGTATGTCAGCTAACATTGCCCGTTGTCGAGGAATGAATGTGTAACACATGTCCTAACCATCTCTATCGATGTAACTTCTCAGCCTCATCGATTGATTTCTCCTCCCTACCTAGCACTCAACTAAAGCCTAACCTCAATATTTCTCATCTTATTGTACCACTTCACACGGGAGACAGAACGCAGACATATATGATCAAAGACAGCTTTCATGCGTTATCATTTCCTCAACTTTCAATGGCCATGTCTCAGTCACAGTTATAGAGGAGGACGGAGCGAACTGCTGACCGGAAGTAGAATGTAAATTGTATGCTGATACTTATACTTTAGTGGGGGGGGGGGTGGCCCTCATAAACGACCTTGTACAACTAAAGGTAATTAGACTTCGATCTTCTTTTTGAAATACTGTCATGTGTCCGCTAGCTGCTAGCCTCTGCCAGTTAAGTTTTATTCACTGTCTTCATCAAGTGGGGTGGAGGAGGTGTTCCTTGAAAGATGAAAGAGCAAATGCAAACGTGTGACGCCTACAGCTGGACATCAAGATGGTATACCTGTCTAGGGAAGAGGAGCTGAAAAACCCTGATTCCAAACCTGTGTTGAATAGAACGGTTTATGAATCGGTTTTGGTCATCGGAAAGCATGGGAACGTATCCCCTAACTCTTTTCCAACATCTTGTGGATTAGACTATGGCCTGTTAAGACAACTAGATGCTTCAGTCTGGGAGTCAGGGTGATTTTATACCCCTTGCACAAACTGTAGGGTTTTGTGTGGTGCATATCTTTGTGCCCAGAATGCACATAGTTTGTGCCTATGTGATAATGATAATAAACTTTGGGGGATGACTCAGGTACTAGTTGCAAGGAAAAAATTGAATTGAGGTTCAAATCGTCATATACCTCCAAATAGTCAAGTTAACTCTCTACGGGTGACGTGTACATAACATTCTGGTTCAAAGTTCCACACTGATTTGTTAGTCAGTTACATTGATTCGATCAACATACATGATTTTTGAGTTGTGAGATCAACCAATTTCAATCAAGTGAATTACCAGTGAATTGGTGGATGCTGACTAGCAGTGCGATCCAGGATGCGCATTTCTTCCTATTTGGGACTCGTCAACGGGATGTACCTGCATTCTGCAATGAGTGATGATGTTCCCACTGAGGCCGACATTTCAACCTGAGACCGAACACTTCGGTCCAATCAATCAATGGGAAAATCTAAAATTCAATTAAACAAGTGAATTATCGTTCGGCAATTATCCTTAGTCTTCTGACTGTGACGACCATGAGAGCCCCTTGTGTGCTTATGGAAGTGTTTAGGCGGATAAGACATTCCGGTTGGTTGTCCACTCCATGGAGGTTGATTTCTACTACTCGAAAGGTATCAGGAATAATAGGACTGCAGAGCCCAGGCCACAACTACTTAAGACAGATCACACATAATTTTGGAGTTGCTTCTGTAGTAATTTTATTCGTCCAAAATATATTTTCATTTAGGATTTGTCTGGGCTAAGTTAAACCCCAAGCACCGAAGGAGTGTGACCGTAAACTTCAGTCAGAGAGAGAGTTAGTCAAACAGGAAAAATAACACTATAATAGTGAATAGAAGATACTAGATGAAGCGTTACATTACTGGACGAGACATCTAGTACGTCTTAGGTTAGGTTTGGGAAAGATCAAGTTAAGGTTCAAACTATGAATCTATTCAGGCCGATGTAATGGTTGGTTCCAGTTAGATCAGTGTTAGTTTAGGGATATTTTCGGACTACGGTTAAGGTTAGAAGACCAAGATGAATACATTTACAGAATGTGGTTTAATTACACTGTTGACTCTGCAAAACAAAATGCAGAGGCATTTTTGTCATGTATCAGAGAAGGGTATTCTGTGTAACAGTTTTACTGATCAGTATATATATATATTTTGATGCGTAAAAAGCACCTTTTTTACGGGATTGGTGCGTTCCTAATTTCCATTGCATAAAGTGTAAGCCCGTCTTTGTGTGGTGTGACAGATAATTGCTTCTCATGATGGACTGTGGTACAGCCGGGCGGCACAATCACAAAACTGGTTGGCTGGCTATTGACTGCGTAAGGTGGTAAGCTTAAACAAACAATTTTTGGGGTCTACATTTTCTAACCCCTCCGCATATACACGTCTCCAGAGCAGAGAGGCGTAGCATAGGTGGCATACTTGGTATCTTAGGGAAACGCCCTACTGCTATTAGAGCCATATTCTCCAGGAGAACGACTTTACTTACAGAATATACCGGTAACTGCAGCGGGAAAACATTAGTTCCAGTCAGTGTAGCTCGTTCGGTCATTGTGATATGCTAACCCAATCACCACGTCAAGGTATCGATTCTTTCATCTGTTCACAGTAATTTACAAGCATACTTAACCTGTTCGAAGAGATTGTCACTGATCTATTTTTGTTCTCCTTTATGTCTTTCCTCCTTTCTTTCTACCTTTTTTTTTAAAAAAATACGCAAAATTTAGTCTACCCGTTTCATGGGAAGATGATGCTGAACAAATTGCACTGATCGGTGAAGAGTTGATAGTAGATTTTGCTCGACGAAATGTTAAACGACTAGAGCATCATTTTCAAAGGAAGACATTTTTTGAAAAAGCCTATTGTAATCTATGCCATAAGTCAATATTCCATGGTAAGTCAGTTGTTGTAGAATAATTCTAAGTTTTGATGATTATGTATGAAGTTATATCGGTTAGAGTAGGACGGATAGTTGTTTCGTCCTTGTCTGCGACTCTACACTTATATGACCCAACGTGAGGGGGGAGTTGAATCAGTGACTTTTAGATTACAAGCTAGCCAAGTTGGTCGTGTAGCGCTACTTGAGCGGAATTTTAATGACCCCAGGCTAGGATGAAAAACACCTGTGCAGTACTTCCTTGATTTTAATGGTTCTCTAACTGATATCAATTCTACACTAGAAATTAACACTTTATCATCCCATTTTTGTATGTGTTTAACTAATACTGTATGTCAATATTCTATTTTTTAAAAGGTGCTATATGTAAAACGTGTGGATGTGCCTATCATAACCGATGCCTTCCACGTGTTGATAAGAATTGTCTATCCACCTTGGATGATGATGTATTCTTTGCCGGTGATCAACAAAGTAGTCGAAAGTAAGACAACGCCACGATTTCTTTTTTCACATTTATCATATTTTTTTTATATCGTCTTTCTAAATCCAAATTACTAGGCTCTTCAAGAGTTTGTTTTTAAAGGATATGCTTGGCTACAGGTTCTATGACGAGTTGACATCAGTTAGAGAGAGAACCAGTGGGAATCAGGCACAGAGAGTAGTAGTGGACAGCTGTTTCGTCAGCGTAGTTTGGGACTCATGGGCAGAACTCACACCCACTGCCAGGTTTCGAATCCAGGACCCTACTGGTTACGCGGTGAGCTTGTAGACCATTCAACCATTGGAAAACGACTCAATAGACAGTACATGAATTCTAACCTCTACCAGTTGGTGATTTTAGTGGGACTGGCATCAGCTAATGTTATTCGGCGAGTATATATATACTTAGTCTCAGCCGGATGATCACCATTCCTTACTAGAACCGTAGTCAACTTCATCCTTTAGTCAGCTACTAGCAAGTTTGTTTGTAGGGATTTGATTCCCTCCAAGTTTGATCACGGATTGATGTCAGACAGACATATTTATGGACAGCTGGGAAAATAGTGCCCTCAATACATTTAACCCTACTCCGAAAATATGGTGGAGATATGTGGATGACACTTTCACAGTGTTAAAAACAGAACACATCTCTAGCTTCTTGACACATATAAACTCACAAGTTGAGGGAATAAAATTCACATTTGAATCAGAAAATGAACAAGGAGAATTAGCTATGTTAGATTGTAAGATAAAAAGAATAGAAGAAGGCAAACTACACACTAGTGTGTACAGAAAACCAACGCATTCTAATAGATATTTAGACTTTAATTCGTCTCATCCTTTAACTGTTAAGGCAGGCTTAGTTAAATGTCTAACAAACCGAGCAGTGGCACTAAGTAGCACAAAAAAAGATCTAAATGATGAATTAAAACAGATAGAAGAAGCGTTGGTGTTGAATAACTATCCTATAAAATTCATTAGGAAGATCATTAAAGGCCAAAAACAAAATAAAAATAATTGTGAAACTAGTAATAATAACATAAATAAGAAAGAATATAAGTCATCCACAGTTATACCATATAAAGAGGGGACATCTGAGACACTACGTAGGATTCTGAATAAAATAGGAATTAGGGTGGCATTTAAACCTACAAACTCACTCAGGGACAAGCTCTGTAGGTTAAAGGACCCAGTTGACCCAATTAGACAAAATAATATTATTTACAAAATACCATGCAATGACTGTGAGGTCAACTACATAGGTCAAACTAGTAGGTCAGGGGTAGTCAGATTGTCAGAGCATAAAAATTTAGCTAAGGTAAGAATGGTTGACCCCGAGAAGATAAATAATTTAAAAAAAAGCTCAGCGATTGCAATGCATGCGCTAACACACAACCACACAATAGGGTGGGAGAGAGTTAAAATTCTAAAAAGTAATCTAGGTAGGTGGAGAGAGAGGTTGATTACTGAATTTTTGTTCATCGAGTCTACACCCAACACATGCAATAGGAATGACTCGTCACTCATACCTGAAATATGGAAAATACTATTACCAATCAAATCAAGTGAAAATCAAGAGAAAAACAATGGAACTATATAAATGAATTTAGGAAGTCGTGTGATTACCTTGATATGATTATGAGCAATAAATTGTGCTCGAAACGTCATCAGTTCATATAACTGTAAACACTGTGCGATTTATCAAAATAAAAATCTTATCTATAATGGAATCAGACAGAGAATCATTAAAAAGTGTGTGAAATTGGCTTGTGATCATGCTAAAGTCATGAATTGGTAGAAGTTTCAATTTAATGGACTGGTCATAAAGTCGGGTGCCAGTGACTAAATCATAAATGAGGTTTCCTTGTAGCTTGAAGGTCATGGGTTCGCAATTCTGCCGTGCGTGCGTACTACGGGTGAGTCCCAGCCTAGGACGAGATAGCTGTCAAGTACTAGGCTTTTCCTATTAAAAGTGTGTTTATTCTTTGTATTGACACGCTAGATAGAGTTTTGTTTATGTTGGAATTAACTGGATGTAACAACACTTTGAGATATAACAACAGGATAAACAGTGCAATAATCATAAATCTGAAGAAATAAATTCGTGTAAAATGTATTACAAAACACGTATTTCAGCAAAGGGGCTCTTCTCAGCGAATTCACTTTCCCCTTAGCCGTACTGTCGCATGTATATACAACTTTTTCTCATGAAAAAGCATAGTAAAAATAGTGATGAGTTGTCACAAATAGTTGCTGATATTAGATAATTGGAAGCGATCGGCAGGAGGACGCCTTGCTCGACCTAGGTTTCGTGCTAGCTGGCATTCACCAGTTAGGGCAAGGCGTATCTTCAATTTTGAAGGAATTCATGTCTCTCCTTCTGAGATTCGAACTCGTCTCACTAAGTGAGTGATGCAGTCAAAGATGCGTTGGTCGCTGACAAAATCTCAGCACAGATACAGAAGGCTATTTTCGCATATGCCAGTTCACGCCGTCTCTGGCGTAGACGTGATATCCGACTATCGACCAAAGCACATGTGTACTGCTCAGCAGTCCGCTCCGTACTTCTTTATGGCTGTGAGAGTGGGAGACATGAAAAACTTGGCTGGCTGTCTTTGATCATAGGTTCTTGCGTTCTGTCTCCCGTGTGAAGTGGTATAATAAGATGAGGAATACTGAGGTTAGGCTTTGGTCGAGTGCTAGGTAAGGAGGGGAAATCAATCGATGAGGTTGTGAAATTACTTTGTTTCAGATGTTCAAGACATGTGTTACGCATGTTAGCCTAGCCATCGATCGTCTTCCTCAACGGGCAATATTAGCCGACATAAGATAGGTCAGACTGGAAAACAGGAGCTAGTGGTGGTTAAAGCGAAAAATGGTTTTATCAGTCAATGAAGTCCAAAACAGTTAGTTTAAAGCAGACACGTAGGAATGTGTTGACTTCTTGACTGGTCGGGGTCTTCGGGATGATATGAACCAGTGAAGGCGGGAGACAATTAGTGATATGGCTCCAAATCATTCTTCTCAATGGCTGGCGCAGATGAATTCACTCTTTGTGATTTGTCGTATCCAATAGAACCCTATTGTTCTTCCATATTACTGCCTCTTTTTCTCTCACATTTCTGTTTATTATCTGTCTTTGGAATCTCTTTTTACTCTCCCTCTTGTCTTTCCTTGTGTGCTACATGGAAGGAAAGTGGCAACTCTAAGTGGTACAGCACTTCTGTGCAAAGTTGTATGTTGAAACCAGTCAGTCAGTCACTGCTGATTGTGTTGGGCTGGATCATACAATATAGCGGGCAGAGCGAGCAGATGGGTATACGTCAGACTGACAAAGATCTGAACTTTGCGTAATTTCACACAAACTCTTGAAGGCTTACTGACAAAAACTAACAAGGTAGCAGAGGAAGCAGCAATGCCAAGACTTCAGGTGGGGGGGGGTAGACGTAGAAAAGACGGAAGGCTGATGAAGATACCTAACCAACAGGGATGATCTTAGATACCGAAAGCAGCCACAAGATCAAGAAAGTAAATCAAACTTTCATTCATCTGAAATCAGCGTAGAAGTCTGCTGCGTTTAGTATAAGGAACAAGATTCAGTTAACCCTTCTAAAGACTTGATATGTCATCGGAAGCATTCGGAACAGGCTACTTCAGACTGTTATCAACACCTCCCTTTCCATGCCTTGGTACTGAAGATCAGATGGCCAAGGAACGCTGTTAACGAGCCAACTAAGAACCTATTGGAAAGAAGAGAACACGAAGTTCAGCTGTGAGTAAAAGATGGCTGTTGAGAGTGGAAGACATGAGAAACCTGGCTAGCTATTTTTGATCATAGGTTTTTGCGTTCTATCTTCCGTGTGAAATGGTATAACATTATTGAGGTCTAATGTCCATATGGGTATTTTCCACGAACTATGAACCTATTGCCCAAAGGAATGGAGGTGGACTTGACACATCGTATGCCAGGCCATCCCTCGATTGGAACCCGAATGGGAAATGGCGAGTTGGGTGTGTGTGTGTTGGTCCTAGGGTGGTGTAGTGGAGGCGATCGTGTAAGGAGTGAATGAAAACTTATGCGAAGCAGTGGAGCCAGTTAAACTAGACTGCAGCGAATAAAGTGAGAGATGGACATGTGTACTCCTGAAACCGTATGTTCCACTTGGAAAGTAAGCCAGTAATTATGACAAAACTCTGCACTTAATATTAATAATAATTTTTTTAAGGTTCCAAGTGAAACATTGAGCTTCATTAAGACATCTTCACTTCACTCTGTTATCTACAGTCGTTTTTAACTGGCTTCTCGATTTCTCTTACGATTTCCTTTCCTTTCTTACATGGCTTTGTGGATGGCTTCCTCGAAAAAAGAGTTTTTCGGATATCCGACAGCATTCTTGGTAGATTTAGGAAAACTCATTTCTCCAGCTATCATATCAGTAGTATAATCAAACTGTGTATATTTTGACTAAAGAAAGGTACGAACATATTTGCAGTTGTTTTGATAATATGAGCTCGTTTTATTTCACAGATCCTCTTCAACTGCACACACCCTTTTCACAGTTATAGATAGAAAATACAAGCCACATTATTCCAAAAATGATGCCAGTAAACGAATTATTCAGTGTTAAAAGACTAACTTTTTACACAATAATTAGACAAAGGGGGAGGTAGAGTGTTGTGCAACAGAACAGAACATAGAAAAGCATATCAACAAAACAATTACAGTTGTTAGGGTAGTGAGAGACTAATCAAACTATCTTTCCGTATATACAGACGTTGAGTCGAAGTCTTTTGATGCCAATGATTTCGAAGAGAACTATTGCTAATCTAAAGCACAACTGCCAGACACCTAATTGACACGGCACATTCAGTAGAAATTAGTTAGGACTACAAAATAGTTAATACAAAAAGAAAACCATGGTTGCTTCGATTTTACAGAATCCATTTATATCAAAGACTTCAACTCATCGTCTGTGCACACAAAAAGATAGTGTGACTAATCTCTCACTACGCCCCCCCCCTAAACAACTGCATTTGTTTTGGTTGATGTGCTTTTCTGTGTTTTTTGTTCTATTGCGTAACATTCCATTTAATTTTAATTTTTGAACTGTCATATACTGATTTGAACTCACTATTAAGTTTCCAGATATAATTAATTGTTTGTCTGTGTCATAATTTTACTTCACTATTCAACCGCATCCTCTTGATGCCTCCATCATAATATGTATAGATTCACTCAGTTGTTCGATCTTGTCTGTAGTCGATCCTTGTTTCCAAGAGAAATCTGAACTCTACCTTCCCCCTTGTAAACAATCTACTGACATCAATTTTAGAATAATGTTGCTTGTATTTTATATCTATAACTGTGAAAAGTCCATTATGGATAAGATTTGTTATTTTGATAAATCACACAGTGTTGTTGTACAGTAATATTAATTGATAACCACGTCTTGAGCACAAATTATTGCCACTCATAATCATATCAAGTCACTCACACAACTGTTTTTCTTCATTAACATACATGTGTGGAATTAATGATTAGACATCTGAATAATAATGTACATTCAGAAATAATAATATGAGTGTTATTTATGGTCACAATAAGCAACATGTTAGAATGTTGTGTTATGCTTGGATTGAAATAGAATTTTGAGATCATTTATTATCCTCCTCTGATTTGACTGACTGACTGACTGACTGGTGGGAATAATATCTTCCATGCATATCTTTGGCATTTACATTGAGTCATTTCTGTTGCATGTGTTGTGTTGGGTGTAGACTCGATGAACAAGGATTCCGTAATCAGCCTCTCTGTCCACCTACTTAGATTACTTTTTAGAATTTTAACCCTATCCCACCCACGCTATTGTGTGGTTGTGAGTCAATGCGTAAAGTGTAACTGCTGAACTTTTTTCTGAATTACTTATCTTTATGGGGTCAGTCTTTCTTCCCTTAGCTAAATTCTTATACTCTGACAATCTGATTACCTCCGACCTACTAGTTTGACCTATGTGGTTGACCTCACAGTCATTGAAGGGTATTTTGTAAATTATATTATTTTGTTTATTTGGGTAAAGCGACAGGGTTCTTTAGCCTACAGAGCCTGTTCCTGAGTGAGTTTGTAGGTTTGAATGCCACTGTAGTTCCTGCTTTATTGAGAATCCTACAGAGGGTCTCAGATGTCCCCTCCTTATATGGTATAACAGTGGATTGATTACGGAATCCTTGTTCATCGAATCTACACCCAACACATGCAACAGAAATGACTCAATGCAAATATCAGAAATATGGAAGGTATTATTACCACCAGTCAGTCAAATCAGAGGAGGATAATAAATAATCTTATAATTCTATCTCAAGTCAAACACATCACAACTTTCTAACAAGTTAATTATTTATTTTGACTGTAAAAACATTCGACTTATTTCCCATTTGATTGTAATTGATCAATAGCACTCGTACTGTTATTTCTGAATGTACATTATCTCATATTGAATTTTATTCCAATATCTAATCGGTTCCACACATGTATATAAATGAAGGAAAAAGTTGTGTGAGTAACTTGATATGATTATGAGTGGCAATAGTTTGTGCTCGAAACGTCATCAGTTAATATTACTGTGTAACACTGTGTGACTTATCAAAATAAAATCTTATCCATCATGGAGTTATGTTCTACCACAGGGCCCAAGTTTTATACTTTATACTATCAACTGTGAAAAGGATGTGTGCAGTTGAAGAGAGCCCATGAAGTAAAACGAGTTCGTATTATCAAAACAACTGCAAATGTGTTCGTGACTTTCTTTAGTCAAATTAATAAATGAAGCCGGTTGTATGTGTGTATATATATGCTGTTTTGTAACGACAGAAGACAAGGGTCAGGCAACAGATCGTTTATTTAGAAAAAATGAAGAGGTATTTATAGGTTTTTTTGTACGTTATTATTAGCGTTATTGTTAGCGAAGGAGCAACGTCTTCTGATTGGTTGTTTCCTTGCTGAAGGTTATTCAGTTATCTTTTTGTGGCCATTTCTTGGAAAGTTAAGCCTTGTATGTATCTGCGATTCGTATTTGCACACGTTAAATCTGCTGTGATTGATTGGTGAGTTCCTCAAAGTTAAGTTTTGTTATTGTTTCTTCTCTGGTCCACCGAGGGAGAGAGCTCTCGAGTCGGTGGCACAACGGTTAGGACGCTCGCCAACCATGCACATGGTCTGGGGTTCGATCCCCTGCCGACTCACTCCTTTACCTCACTAAGCCAATGGTGAAACTGGTAAAGCGGAAAGGTTGGGGGGCAGGAGGCTAGCAACCCCATCCTGTAAAAATTAACACTGCTACAGAAACTTCAAGCTTCTAGCTTGGAGCCCTATGTTCCACTGGGAACATGAAGGTGAAAAATTTTTTTCTCATGACCCCGATTCCGGACGTAACACTGTTTGCTTGTTTGCAGACAGCTCTCATCACAATTTCATCGATTTTCTGTAAGTATTATGCATAAATGTCTGTATGTGTATATTTTAAATAGTTTTTCAGTTGCTATTACTACTACTAATACTTATCCCTAGTTCTTCTATCCATGGATCGAATTGGTTAATGCCTACAAGTGCTACAACACCTGGTTACAGTAATAGTAGTACATGTTTCCATCATTTTAATCCTGATGACATAACAACAGTGCGTGTATTAACTAATTCAACTGGTGGAGTTAGTGGAATTGGTATAGATGCAGGCAATCTCCTACCAAATGGTCAATACTATCCAGCATCATTAACTTCATCATCCACTGTTGGTGGAGCTGGTGGTGGTGGTCATTTCCCTCGTCAATGTTTAACTCTCACCTGTAGAGAACGTTCCTCGTCTACACCGAATGTATCAAATAATTTAATTCCACCGAATCAACAACAAAGAAATATGTTTACGCCTAGTTCACTTGGAAAGGTAGTTAGTTGGATAGTTTTTATTTTTCTGTCTGATATAATATTTTATTGGTTAATTAATTAATTAAATATTTTTCATTTATCTTTTTGTTTTTTAACCCCCTCCCCTTTTCTCTCTCTGTCCCTGATCCTCTGTTAAACATGCTGTCGTCTACTGATACATCGGTACGAATGCCATAATCGACTACTAACACTTCTACTAATTATTATTCACATATACAATACAATTATCGCTTCATTTATCATCCATCCTTTGTGTAGATCATACACGTCTTATAAATCAAGCATTAATAATATAAAACGTTCTAAATATGTCCTGTCCCAGTTGATCCTTTCATGCTCCCTGTGTAATAGTGCTAGTGCTAGTGGTAGTAGTAGTCAACGTTGGTATTCTTCACATCCTCCTCCTCGTCATCATCATTGCTGTTGTTATTATCGGCATCAGAATTACAATGTCTGGAAGATAAACAAAACAAGTGAAAGACGTTGTAGACCGTGTGATACAATCAAATACGTCGATAGCTATGATGATGATGGTGATGTTGGTTCTCCTGGTGGTGGTAATAATAATAGTAGTATAAACTGTGGTGAATTATCCACTTCATCGATTACAACGTATTTATCAGATTCTAGTAAAATGACGACTTGTCGAAATTCTTCGTCTCTACGTCGATATCATCCTGCTTATCATCATCACCGTTTACATGGATCTCGGACAGTGAATAATGATGGCGTTTATTGTAATCATTGTTCTAATTGTCATCCTTCTGTGAAGAATAATAAAATTAAGCGTTTAATTCAAATGTCTACAGATAATAGAAATACTACCAATGCGAATACTACTAAGAAAATTACAATTAATATAAGCTATGATTTGTTACCTATCAAATCACAGATGATGATTAGCAACAATAGTAGTAGTATTCCAATGCATAGAAGTATATCAGCCTGTATTGAAACTGACCGTCACAGGTGCATAAACTGGAAGAATACACCGCAGCAATCTAATAATAATAATAGTAATAATAAAATATATATGGATTCTGTTAGGTATTTTAGCCAACAGAGCAATGGTAATCAGAATGACAACGGGGATGTCGGAGTATCTTTTAAAATAGATAAAAGCAACCAGGAAGTACTTCTTGCTGGTGGTGGGGGTGGTGACAACAGTGCATCCGAAAATCTAAAGTCTTACGACTTTCTTACTACACCATCTACTTTCATAACGGTACCAAAATCGAACAATAATAATAATAGTAATAACAATAATAGTCATAGTAGTGATAAAGAAGTGAATTCCAGTGATCAAGCCTCCACATCGTATTCATCATTTTTTAATGAAGGCAATTCTGATACTACAAGTAATAATAATAATAATTTATTATTCGCATCGAGTGATAATCAAAGCTTTACTGATTTTTCACGTTTAGCTGAAAAAAGTATCTTTTTTCACACTGGTAATACGTCAAAATTACCACTTCCGTATATTTCTTCGGGTGTACGTCGTGTTCATTCGTTCTGTACCTCTGTTATGAGTAGTGGTCATTCAGCAGTAGGTACTTTTGGTTTTTTGAATAACGTTAGTGGGGCATGTTTCAAAGGGGGTATCTGGTTCAATTTATTGTTCTGTTGAATGGGATAATGGTACACACACTCACTGATTGAGTATGTTTTTTGCCCCACCACCCATTTATTATGTTCCTAACATGATTATAAATCAGTGTTCTGGTGTTGGTTTGCAGGAATTTCATTGATTTCTAGATTGATCACGCACTGAGTTCATCTAGAGAGGGACATTGGAAACCAGCTGTAGGGAGTGCTGAACGGTTGTTTCGTCCTTGTTAAGGTCTCTTCAGTCGTAAACGCAAGAATTGATGTGTCATTGGATTCCCTCCGAGTAGTTTAATGGTATAGGGAATCACCTTGTAACATGTAGGTTATGGGGTTGACTCCTGCAGATTGGACCACTCACTGGTGTATGTACTACTGACGAGTCTCAAAGCAAGGGCGAAGCAACCGTCCAGTATTCCGTAGAGGTTTTCAATGGTTTTGCTGCCTGAAGTCAATTCGTGATCAAACTTGAAATATGAAATTCTGTTTATTTCATTTCATTGTTCACACACATGTTCTATTCATAGTGCACTTACATTTGTGTATATTAAAATTTAGGTTTGATCTGTAATAAATGTGTGTATATATGGAATTGTCTTTTCACCCCGGGGTTTATGGTTTTCTCTACTTGCATTTTGTCTATTTTCCTCCTTATGTGTGTTCATTGTCTTGTATTTCTCTTATCTTCATCGTTTCACTATAAGCGAGAAGCGAACAAGATTATTCAAGGATCTCCGTTGCATATCGTATATCCTGTTGCAAATAGTAAGTCTTCACTGTTTTCCATAGCTTTGTTAATAATAATAATGGTAGTAGTAGTAATTATTAATATTATTGTTCCCTTGGGTTCCTAGTGGAACATAGGGCTTCAACTGCACGTCTCCACTTGCCACTTCTGTCTTCTGTTATACTTTTCGCCTGCATCCATGTTAATCCATCTTCTTTCAACTCCTCTTCACACGATCTCTTCCATGTCACCCTTGCACTGACGTCCTACTCGCCACTTCCCTTTCGGCCTGGTTCCATTCGAGCAATGGCCTGACGCGCGCGCGATGTCACCCTGCGGCCTCCTCAGTGAGTGTCCAATCCACCTTCACTTTCTCCTGAATATTTGCTGTTGTTGGGCAATTGGTTCTTGTTTTGTTTGTTCCCATAGTTTCTTGTTGGTGATTCTTTCCGGCCCAGCCATCTGATCGTCAGCATAGAACGAAGACAGTTATTGGTAAATGAAGGTCTGCAACAGGCTGTTGGAAATATTCTTTGTCACCCGCCCGCCCGCCAATTTCCTGATCCGTATAGAAGAACTGACTAATTTGACGTTTGTATTGAAGATCCGACTGAATTTTGTTGTTGATGATGGCTGAGTGACGAAGATTTCTTTCCAGATTGGTCTCAGGTTGATGAGTGAATGTGTTTCTCGCCTGCCTTCCTGATTCTCGCTCGATTTGACATCCTCGTCCGTTCCGACTGCCTGTAGTTGAGACAATGCTCCCTAGATAAGTGAGTGAATGAAGTAACCTCTTTCCAATCCCTCCCGCTGATGGTGATTGGCGCTGGATGTTGCTGCAGTTGGTTTTTGGTTGGTTATTTTCATAACCTACAGCTTATCTATGTTCACTTGGAGTCCTGTCTTTTCCGGCTGTTTCTTTGACCAGTTTGTCGGTCGGTTTTTGCTTGTAAGTCTTCGATTTTATGTGACATCAAAGATAAATCATCCACGTGCGAAATCCAGGTCTTCTAGGTTCTTCGCATCGGTCCAGAAAGGATATCCCTTGTCTTCTCGTTTCCCACTGTCTGACGCATAATCCAGTCCACGACAATTAGGAATATCATTGGTGATAGTAAGCACCCTTGTCTGACTCCTATGTTTACTCCAAACGCCTCGCTGAGTTTTCCGTTGTGGATCACTTGGCATGTGCCGTTGTCGTACAGCTGTTGAATAAGGTTGATGAATATTTGGGGCACTGTACGCCGTAATACTCGAGTAGTTTCCAAATTGGTAGTAGTAATAGTAGTATGTAAATCTCATTTTCATTACACTCACCGAATGTTATAATTAAAGTCATGTAATTAATAGCGTTCTCTGAACTAGTTGATTTATTTTCGGAGCTTTCGTCGTCCACCTTTCTGGACAACATTTTCCTTCAGCGCAATTTTTAGCATGAAGTGAACTGATTTAAATTTTCTATGAGTGAAAGAGTTGAGTCTCCTGGTAACAACCATCTTTACATCTGTATTGACCATTTTTTTATGACTTGAATTTTAAACTTTCTGGTTACATGATATACTTTTTATTAGTTGGTAGATTTGGTCTATATTAACATGTTCGTTAATCGGATATTCATTTGAATACCAGGCTTCTAGGAATTCTCTAGCATTTTTGGTGTTTCCTCTCTCTAAGATTTCGACTTTATCCCAATCAAATTGATGTCCATAATTGTCTATGTGCATTGATTTTAAAGAGTATATATCGTGTCTTTTCACAGCTGATTTGTGTTCTTGGATTCTGATTCGAAGGGGACGCCCACTTTGTTGACCTATGTAATGTCTTTTACACTTCATACAATTTATTTTGTAAATGGTATTAATTTCATCTTCTTTTTCTGTTGAATCTTTTGGTTTGCACAATATCGAATTAATTGATTGGGGACTGGCTTGTGTGCGATTAACAAACATGATAAAATATAGAGCAAAGCTACCAACTAATAAAAAGTATATCATGTGACGAGAAATTTTAAAATCCAAGTCAACAAAAAATGGTCAATACAGATGTAAAGATAGTTGTTACCAGGAGACTCAACTCTTTCACTCATAGAAAATTCAAATCAGTTCACTATATATATGCTAAAAATTGCTCTGAAAGGGGATGTTGTCCAGAAAGGTGGACGACGAAAGCTCCCCAGCTAAATAGACCAACCAGTTCAGAGAACACTACTAATTGCAAATCATCACATTGTGAGCTACATATCTTCTTTATTATACAGTTGTGTATTCATAGTCTAGACTGTATGATCAATTATTCACACAGACCTTTTTGGTGTGTAGTAGGAATTTTCCTATAAAAAATGAGGTTGGAACAAAGATGAAGCAAACATCGGTGTGGAATAATATGTGTTCATTACATTTCATCTCAAAGAAAATTGAGAGATAGATGGATCAGACAAACACTGAGGAGACCGTTCGAATGACGTTGCTCGCCAGGCCAGGTCATATCATCAATCGAGCGGAATGAGAATGGGAAGAGAGTAAGGATTTGGCTTTGTGTCCGTGAGTGATATGCTGGAGATAATGTGAGCTTCAAGGAGGTAAAAGATTATGGGCAACCGTGTGGGGTCAGCTTAAGAGGACGGCAGGGGATAGGAAAAATGGAGGCATGTTGTTGAAGGCCTATTTTTTTTCCACTTGGAACCCACAGGAATAAGAATACACTATCAATAATTGTTCACTAGATTGTAAGATCATGTTTTTTTGTATCTAGGAGCTCAAAGATCCAATCGTGTGTAGAGTGATTCTCGAAAATGCTGCATAACTAACTATCTAGTACGGTTTAGAAACCATCATGTCTCAATTAAGTGGGTTGTACTATAGTCATTATGACTACTCATTCTCATACATCGTATGCACTTATTTGTTTCTGGAATGTGTAATATTCGTCAGTTAGATTATTATTATTATGTTATTTATTATTATTTCCAAGTATTGGTTTTGTAGGGATTTTGTTTGTCTGCATGGAGGATTTCATCATGAGCTGACATCAGTTAGAGATCCACTAAAAAATCTGGGAGTATTGCCAGACAGTTGTCTCGTCCTAGTTTGGGACTCTTCATCAGTACGCACCCACCGGGGTTTGAACCCAAGACCTTCTGGTTACAAGGTGAGCTCGTAGACCATTGAGCCTGGAGTTCTAGTTGGAAGCCGTGACCAGTAGGGTGCAGCAGATTGAAGATCAGGTAGTAACTCATCGAATAAGACATTGTGAGATGGTGGTGCTATGTCATGGATTGGCAGAATTAAAATTCAAGGAACATTGGATCAGTTGGGTCCCAGTGGCTCAATGGTCTACGAGCTTGCCTTGTAACCAGAAGGTCCTCGGCTCGAACCCCGGTGGGTGCGTACTGATGAAGTGTCTCAAACTAGGACGAAATAGCTATCCAGTACTCCCAGGTATTCCAGTGGTTCTCTAACTGATTTCAGCTCATGATGAAATCCTCCATATTATTATTATTTCCTTTACTTCCTAGAGGAACATAGGGCTTCAGCTGCGCACCTCCATTGCCTTCTGTTTTCTGCCAACTTTTTCACCCCGCTCCAAGTCTACCCACATGCTTTCATCTCCTCTTCACATGACCTCTTCCAAGTCACCCTCGCACTGACGACCAACTCGCCGCCACCCTTTAGGGTTCCACTCGAGCGATGGCTTGTCTAGTGATGTCACTTGATGGTTTCCTCAGAATATGGCCAATCCATCTCCATTTCTTCCTGCCTATTTGTTTCACAATCGGTTCCTGGTTGGTTCGCTCATTGCCAGAGATCCCTGTTGCTGATCTTTTCTGACCGGCCATCTGATCTTGAGTGGTATTGAGCGAAGACAACTGTTAATGAAGGTCTGAAGTTTGTTTGAGATGCTCTTTATGACGCGCTGGCCAAGTCTCTGATCCGTATAGTAGCACTGACTTCACATTGGAGTTGAAAATCCACATCTTTTTTTCATGATGATTGCTGTACATACATACGTACACTTGTGTGTAATGGAAGCTTGTCTTGCTTTCCCTATCCTTGCTTCGATATTATCATGAGTTCTGTCCGCCTGTAGTTGAAACGATGCTTCCCAGGTCATCAGTTAGATAAGTGTTTTTAAATTACTTGTTTGCATGGTACCTAGAGGTAGATTCCAGGATGTACATTTCGTCCTGTTTGGAACTTATCAGCCGGATATACTCTTGTTCTCCAGTGAGTAATTGCGGTGAAATAATAAAGAAGATTTATAACTCAGGTGAATGATTTGGTTGTTTTCTCTGAGCTGATTGATTTAATTGAGAGGTTTTCTTTGTGCCAATAGTAGACGGCATCTTAAGCGAACACGTCTCAGTATTAAGTGAACTTGTTTGTATTCTCCATGTGAATGATATGATTGTATGTCCTGACAACCATTGTCTTCATTAGTTGTCAATTTACATCTCTGCTGATGATTTTTAGTCACGTAAAATCTGAAATTTCTCCTCATATGATTTATTTTCTATTATTTTGTTAATTTTGGTCCATAGTAATGTGTCTGTTTGAGTACTAGCAGGCTTCTAGAAATTTCCTGACAGCATATTTAGTATTTCCACTGTTGAAGAAATTTCAAGTAATGGTTCGTAGGGATTCGATTGATTGGTTAGAGGATTTCATCATGAGCTGATATTAGTTACAGGACCATTGGAATACCTAGGAGTACTGGACAGCTGTTTCGTCCCAGTATTTGGACTCTCCATCAGTACACATCCACCTCCTCAAACCCGACCTGTTGCACCCTACTTCCAATCACGTTCATTTCCGAGATAGTCTGCTTGCATTAATATGGAGGAATACAACATGTCGTGTCTTTTCACAGCTAATGTATCATCTTGAACTCCGAGTCGAAGGGGAGTCCACTTTGACCAATCTACTGTTTATCGCAGTTTATACAATTTAGTTAATGTTATTGATCGTGCCTTCTCTGGCTGTTGAATCTTTCTGTCCTCAGAATTTTGAATGAAATGATTGTAAAATGATTGCCGTAGAAAGAGCATTCTCTGCTGCCGAATTACGTTGTATCTTTAAAACCACTCCTCCTTTGCGTTTTGGAGTTAAAGACAAATTGCCTAATTTCGCCTCTTCCATGTATATCTACCAATTTATCTGCTCCTGTGGAGTGAACCAGTTACATAAGCCGTAAAATTAGGCGTGTTTCTCGTAGAGTTTCCAAACATCACCCTGTGTGGTTAAGTAAAGGACAAACAAAATCTATTCGAAGCGCTATTCTATCTCATCTTGTGGATACAGAACACAGGTTTGATATTACCATGCTTTCAGGGTCACTTACTGCACACCAACAAATCTCAATTTTACCCTAAGAGTTCGAATACTAAATGTTGCTGAGGCCTTATTTATGCATCCAAAAGAAGTTAGTTCAGACACCATTACCTTGGCCATCCAGGTTTGAATAATCCTGAATTTTTGTGGTATTTCCCTAATCTTAGTTGATATTCTATTCGCTATGATATCCTTTTTATTATTACAATTCAAGCATCTTTAATGAACTGTAATTGTATTGATCATACTTTACAAATGAATACTAATTAAAAAACACTAATATTGTTATTGACTACTAATCTAGAGCATTCTATGCATATATATATATATATATATATATATATATATATATATATATATGCGTCGGTGGTATAGCGGTTAGCACGCCCGCCGACCATGCATATGGTCCGGGGTTCGATCCCGGCCGGTGCACTCCTTTACCTCACTGAGCCAGAAATAATCCTGGTAAAGAGGAAAGGTTGGACATGAGGCTAGCAACCCCATCCTGTAAAAATTAAACACTGCTACAGAAACTTCAAGCCACTAGCTTGGAGCCCTATGTTCCACTGGGAACGTGAAGGAAAAATTATTTATTATATATATGATTGTAGAGTCAGAAGAGGAATTTATCGAAAAGAATATTCTTTTCTCGATTATTTTGTGTTTTATAGATGTCTGAATGAATATTTTTGCTATATTGAAATGATTGTGTTAGCTAGTTTGCCGATGTTCTCAATGAATCTTGAACTGGGGTTATCATCGCTTCAAAGGTTAAAGTGTAGCTCACTAAACGTCACCACTAAACCAAGTAACTTAGAGTTATCAATCCTGATTCTATTGAAGCTTCTGTTCAAAGAGACTGTCAATGTCTAAGTCTTACTACACTGAACCTCACGTTGTCCTTGGAAGACTTTCAGCAACAATGTGTATTAACCAACGCGAAAAACCAGAACATAGATTGGTGACTTGAGAATTCTTTATTCTTGCGCCAATATGTAACCAACAATAAGGTTATTATACACAAGGTTTTTGATAGTTTTCTCTCTTCTAACGAACAGAGAACGATGAGACGATGACTGCCGTATTGATGACTCCCGCGAAAAATATGGAGGAGTTAGGTTTGAGCGAACAACCATGAATTGATCGTTCAATCCTCAACTAAATTAACAGAGACTTTATACCAATGGGAGGAACCTGAATGAAACAACCTCCTTCACCTACCTGGGAAGTATCGCCTCAACTACAGGCGAATAGAACTGACGAGAATATCAAAGCCAGAATCGGAAAAGCAAGGCGGGCTTTCACTACTCTTAAGTCTGTGTGGAAGTCAACAGCAATCATCATGAAAAAAAGATGTGGATTTTCAACTCCAATGTGAAGTCAGTGCTACTATACGGATCAGAGACTTGGCCAGCGCGTCATAAAGAGCATCTCAAACAAACTTCAGACCTTCATTAACAGTTGTCTTCGCTCAATACCACTCAAGATCAGATGGCCGGTCAGAAAAGATCAGCAACAGGGATCTCTGGCAATGAGCGAACCAACCAGGAACCGATTGTGAAACAAATAGGCAGGAAGAAATAGAGATGGATTGGCTGGCCATACTCTGAGGAAACCACCAAGTGACATCACTAGACAAGCCATCGCTCGAGTGGAACGCGAAAGGGTGGCGGCGAGTTGGTCGTCAGTGCGAGGGTGACTTGGAAGAGGTCATGTGAAGAGGAGATGAAAGCATGTGGGTAGACTTGGAGCGGGGTGAAAAAGTTGGCAGAAAACAGAAGGCAATGGAGGTGCGCAGCTGAAGCCCTATGTTCCTCTAGGAATTAAAGGATAAAATAATAATAATACCAAAATGTGGTTGATCATTTCAACCATATATATATATATATATATATATATAAACTTATAAAATCTTGGTACAATATGGCACCAAGAAGGATGTGCCACACAATAATAATAAAACAACATAGATCAAAAGAAAAAATAGAAAGAAGAGAAAAATGTAGATATATATATATATATATTTAAGTAGAGAACGGATAAAGAACTTCATCTGGAAGGAAAACAGTCATACTTAACAAGTTCAAACAGTATTCGTTGACTATCATCGGGAAGGGAAGAAAGAAGGAAATTGCAACACGTGTAGTAACACGCGATAAGTTTCATTGGTTGTTTGTTGCTTTATTCAGTTGATTGTGTGAGGGCTGAGATACTGCCCGGACGCCCAAACCGAAGCAGGTGGTTTTCTTAAGGGACCACCCCCGAGCCTTTGACTTGGAGTCTTATCGGAAAGGCAGCGGAGCAGCGTCAGGAGCTGCATTCCCATGGTTGGCAGTGACTCATATGGGTTCATACGCCATTTGATCCGATTGGATACTGGAGCCCATGTACCCATGGTAACTTCTTTTAGTTTAACCGCTATCCAGAAAACCTTCCTCACATGGTAGGTAGGACCTGCAGGAACATGAGTCCCAGCCAGTTTAGCTTGTTGGGTGACTGCGGTATTCAAGCCCGACCACCAAGGCAAGGTAGCATTTATCGGCCGGGAACCATATATATACCATATATCAATGAGTTCTAGTAAATGTTTATATATTCGTTTTTCTCGTTCTCGTTTCTTTTTCCCCTTTCATAGATCATAACAATTGTACAACCGGTCTGCCAGATAGTCCATCAGTTGTTAGTGATGGTTATTTTATGTCAAATCTAGGATTATCACATAATCAAAGATCTGACAGTGATCCAAAACAATCAGTGAAAGCAAGAAATGTAAGTCTATGCTCTTCCATATATATACTGATAGGAAGACACATAAGAAACAAAGTAGAATTGTACTGATGTTTTACTTGTCATGATTTGTAGCATCCAAGAAGTTTTTATTGCAGACTTCGTCATGAACAAATATCAATTACACAATCATTGAAAACCACGGAACACTGGAAAACTGTTTTTTTTCTAGATTATGACTCTTCAGTAGCACACTTCCAGGACCAATCGGTTGCAAGACTAACGTCGTTGAATATTCAGTGAATTGGGTTGGAATTCAATGGCTTGTGAATTCTAACTTTGTCAAAATTAAATAACTGACTGATTGATTTGTTGAGGTAGAACTTCGCAGAAAATAGCAACATTTTAAGCCTCTATGCTTTGAATTAGTTCAATATGGAAAAAGCTGAACTACCAAAGACTAGGAATTGGCATTTTTTAATTGAAGAGTAGGAGTCTGATATGATAGATTTCCAGTCTGGAAATAGCCCTATCAGAATTGGCCTGCCAAAGTGATCGATATCCAGTCTGGAAATAGCCAATCAGAATTGGCCTACGTAAGTGATCGATGGACAGTCTGGAAAATAGCCAATCAGAATTGGCCTACGTAAGTGATCGATGGACAGTCTGGAAAATAGCCAATCAGGATTGGCCTACTTAAAAAATAACGCTCACCATTTTATCGTTCATGATTATAGACTAATTAACATAACCTTGGTAATTTTTTTTGAATGATACGTTATTGTGTAAGTGCACAGTTACTTTCCGTCTCGTCTTTGGTGTGTTCTCGCATAAGTAGAGCGGGTTAAGAGATCAGTTAGCCGTCTTGTACACTGTTGGTGTAGACATATGCTACTCGTGATTACCGCGTCTGTCATCAGCTCGGCATCCAAATTTCTGAAAACCATATTCCAGAATCCCGAGCTACTTTAAAACAGCGATAAAGTAGCTTTATTTCTAGATCTTCAGGTAGTCATTTCTAACATTCCACTATGGATAGCCTAAAAACCTACGGTCTTCTTGCATAACCCAAACTAACAGCCAATGATATCATGGAATACTGTGCCGTATTTCTTCGGCTGGCGACTACTTACTTTCTTATAACTTTGTGTCGGTGACACAGTGGTTAGGACTTTCGCCGACCATGCACATGGTCCAAGGTTCGAACCCCTGCCGACGCACACCTGATATCTATGGTCGGCCTGCAAAATTTCGGCTACCTATATCCATGCTGAAAATTCCATACTTGTACGAAAAATATAGTGTTGAATCAAGCTGTAATCAAAAATATAAATATAAAAAAAATAACCTGAACTCTTCGGGTATTACTTATGTTGAAGTGGAAGATAATGTGAGTGTACTTATATGTCCCAGATAACTCATTAGTTGGAGAACTAAACGGTGTACACCTGTCGGTTATGTGTTTTCCCGCCTAATCCAAGAAATGCTGATACGACAACGTTTCGAAAGCAATTTTCTTTGGACGCTGAAACTATTATTGTCTGCTATAGACAGATTTAAGCTGTGAAGTTAAACAGCTGACGACTGGGCAGCATATAAACTCATACATAAATGCTCGAAGATATATCCAGCATTATAAAAATAGCGTAATTTTGTGTCACACAAGTTGTCAGTGTTTTTGTCAATTTCGCCATCTTGATTGAGTAGAGTTTTTCTGTTTTATTCCTTCCCTCCCACCCATAATCAACCATGGTAGACTTCTGTCTTCTTCTTAGAACGCTTTCACCTATGGTCACGCATTTATAGCCTCTATTAGGTGAGTCCCATGCCTTGCCTTCACACGACAAGGGTGTTCCTCACAAAAGTAAAAGGGCGGATGCAAATTTTTGACACTTACAACTGGACTGGTGGACATGCAGCTGCTGTACACTGAGGGGGGGGGGGGGCTGGGAAACTGATTCTAAACCCCTATGGTGGGTGTATATGGGTTCCAGAATCCTAAGATGTACGATTGTGTATGAACAACTTGTTTTGGTCACTGACCTACAGTACTCCAACCCTGAAACGATGAAACTTTTTGGCGTATTTATTCGGAAACTTGTAAACTAATATTATATCTAAACTAATATTTGAGAATCGCTGAAATCAGGCATCAGTAGCTGACTGGTGGACTCAGCTTCAAAGTTGAACTTTGCACCGAGGTGCTGTGCACTAGGGTCATGCACTCTATGTAGCACACAAAGGTAGGGAAAAGAAAGAAAAAATATATATTCAAAAAAACGATGATGAGCAGTAATATGCGCATGGAAGGACTTGGGATTAATGAATCTGGGAGATGACGAAGATTAATTGCATCTGATTTTGAACGATACTACCAATAGTCTCCAGCTATTGATTTTTAGAATCCTGATGATTGCAACCACGCAGTGTTTGTGTACACCTCTCCACATGGCTAGCTCAAACTAACTGTCAAATATTTCATGGAGTAATGACAGGGTTTCCTTTCAACACCCTTAACCCTTTTCCAACCTAATCGTATGTCATTAACACATCATCTCTGGTCTTGCAAGGCGATGGTTTAGTGGTCAACACGCTCTACCAAGTGGAGAGACAAAGAGAGAGAGGTTTTATTAGTGAATCTTTGTTCATAGAATCTTCAGCGAACACACGTGCAATAGGAATGACTCACCACTCATACGGGAAATAAATATGAAAAATACTACCACTATGAATCAAGTCAAGTGATGAAAAATTATGGAATTATATAAACGAAATTAGAAAATTGTGTAAGTAGTTAGTGCCTTGATATGATTATGAGTCATAATGATAAATTGTGCTCGAAACGTGGTCCCATCAGTAACTATTACTGTATAAGAACACTGTGAGAAATTATCAAAATAAATTCTACCCACATAGTAAGTTACATTAAATCAAATTGTAAGCTTTCTATTAAAATTAACCTCTTTCTTTGCCTCTTTTGCCTTCCTTTGTGTGTGTGTGTGTATGTGCTATATGGAGTGTGGTCATTTAAACTGGTGCACTTCTGTGCAAAGGTCTATGTTGAAACCGGTCAGTTAGTTAGTCAATGAGACTACCCTGTTACGTCTTTCCTACGTGGTCCTTTTTAAACTAACATTGTTCATTGTCACAAAAAATAAAATTTATCTGACTATAAATATTCAAATAATTCATGAAATTCATGCTTGCATTCGCACTCAGCATGAAAAATAAGATCCGGATTTTCAACTCCAATGTGAAGTCACTACTACTATACACATCAAAGACTTGGTTAGCACGTTACGGGAGGCACTTCGAACAAACTACCGACCTTCATCAGTGGCTGTCTTCATTCATTACTCGAGATCAGATGGTCATGCAGAAAAGAACAGCGACAGGGATCTCTGCCAATAAGCGAACCAACCCAGCAGGAACCGATTGTTCAACAAATATGCAGGAAGAAATGAAGTTAGGTGGGTTGACCATACTCTGAGAAAACAAACCATCAAATGACATCCATCAAACGCCAGGCCATCAGTCTAGTGGAACCCGTGCGGGAAGCGGCGAGTTGGTCGTCCAAGAGTGATTTGGAGGAGGTCATGTGAAGAGGAGATGAAAGCATATGGGGAGACGTGGAGCCAGGTGGAAACGTTGGCGGAGTACCAAACACAATGGAGATGTGAGGTTGAGACCCCATGTTCCTCTAGGAACTAAAGGAAACAATAATAATGATAATAATAATAATACTTGCATTCCAGATTCTACTCTACATAACATACATAATCGTCTTCTTTAAATTCTAATGATTACTACTCATTGTCGACGAAGTTAAAAATTAATGTTTGAATTTATCATTTTATCAAAGGATTTTAGGATTTCCTAAGGTTCTGCGTTTATTATTGTTTCCTTTAGTACCTAGAGGAACATAGAGCTTCAACCTCACGTCTCCACCGTCTTCGGTACTCCGCCAACGTTTTCACCTGGCTCCAAGTCTCCCCATATGCTTTCATCTTCTCTTCACATGACCTCTGCCATGTCACTCGCTCTGATGACCAAGTAACTCGCCGCTTCCCGCTCGGGTTCCACTCTAGCGATGGCTTGGCTTGTGATGTCACTCACTTGATCCTTTGTTTTCTCAGGGTATGACCAATCCACCTACTTTTCTGTGTTTAGCAACGCCTTTTTTTGCTATATGCATCCTAGACATCATTGTCAACGTCAGAACTGAATAAGAGATTTACACTACCATGGAGTTATTCAAACACATGGTTAACTCCAGACACTTGTGTACACCGATGTTTTTAACAGAGATAAGTTCAGGTGATGGATTGTATTACGTGTTGTATTTCTTTATTTAAGGTAAAACAACACTATTTTGAAAGAATTGGATGAGACGTATAGCTCAGATGAATGTATTAAGTATTACGTTCTCTGAGCTAAGTTGTGAAGTTACGAACGTCTCATTATCTTTCTAGACAATATATTTCAGTGCTGTCTTCATATTACAATTAAATCATGTAGCTTTGTGTGTGTGTATGAATTGATTTTTTCTTTTCATCCTGTGGTTTTTATACTGGTTGTTTTCCACTCTCACTCATCATTTTAGAGACGTAGTTCAAATGATGAATGGGAAATCAATGGACAAGAGATAACTAAAGGTCCACGTATTGGATCAGGATCCTTTGGAACTGTATTCAAAGGCTATTGGCACGGGAATGTGGCTATCAAAGAATTGAATGTTGTTGATCCTACACCACAACAGCTAAAAGCTTTCAAAAATGAAGTCAGTGTATTAAGGTAATACAGAAGTGTACAGTTATATCTGTCTCACTTTGTCACTTGATTTTCCACCGGTTGACATACTTTTCAGTTTCTTCTGAAGTCGTTTCGACCTAAAAAATACCCTCACATATCACGTGTAACTTGTTGTAGTGAATGCAAATTTGTATCAGGTTGTTGATTGAGTTCCACACTTTATACATCCGGTCAACAGTTCTCCCGATCCTGTTATATTCATCCTTCATTCTTGTTTTATTTTCTATCCAGCTTCTAAGAACACATGTAATACTAGATGTTTTTAAATCTGCAAGTTAAATGGATACATTCACACATTGTGATGTAGCAGGTTCTCGTTAGAAGAGCTATATGGCTTATAGGGTCAGACTCCCGACATTTTCATTATCGAATAATTGATTGATATCTACTGGCGTGTTTCCTGTGCTCACATAAGAAGTTCGTCTGTTTTTGAATCCCGAACCGGATGTACCTGCATCCCAGTGAGTGAGCGATTGTATTCCACATGACACTCAGTGAATCTAAAGAACACCGTCGAAGCGTCAAGCCTTCTAACACAATATGTGGTAATATTCATAGATTTTTCTGTGTCTTGTTTAATTGGCTACTTTCTAAGTATAAGGGAATGCCGAGAAAATACATCGTACTGGTCAAGACATTCTACTCGAATTCATGCAGTCAACCAGGTGAGAGCCTACGGAGAGTTGTCTTCCGAAGTGGTGAGAACTGGTTGTGTCCGTTAGGGATGCCTACTTTCCCCATTTCTCTTCAATTTCACCATAGATGTACTGATGAACTTTTTTATTCCTTTCTAAGTGGAATATAGGGCTTCAAGCTTGATGCTTAGTTTTGGTTCCAATGGTGTTTAATTTTTGCGGAATGGGGTTGCTAGCCTCATGCCCAACCTTCCCTCTTTACCAGTAGTATTACTGGCTTAGCAAGGTAAAGGAGTGGGTCGGCCGGGGATCGAACTCCAGATCACCAGCCTGGTTTACGAGCGTCCTACCTCTATGCCACCGTTACACTACTAATAGATTTGACCCTAGCTAACTCCAGCAACTTAGAGATCGACTTGTTACCAGGGTGTAACTTCATTGTCTTAGAATACGCAGATGATGTAGTCCTTCTAGGTGATGTTGAAAAAAAATGGAGAGTCTTCTGAATACGTTGAGGAGCAGCAATCTTCGAATGTTTGGCATGCTATTTGTTCCTGTTCTCAAATGTAAGATGAAGGGTACAGCACTCGACTACATTGACTCCTAGCTTAAAAATAGTCAGGAGTGAAGTCATAGATCGTGTTGACCACTTCACACAATTCATAAATACAGATCACAAGATCACAATTCCCTATACAAGGTGTTATTTCGATTCCCTAAATTTGTACATCTGCAACTGCTTAGCATAGTTGAGGCAGTTGGCACAGAAAATTTTTAACCCAACCTCTCTGTGTTCAGAAAGTGTTTGTTCATTCCCTCTCCTTCCCATGATTAAGAATAGTTATCTTTCCGGTGGTGACAGAAGACAATTCTAAATATTAATTTTATTTGTACTGCTAACTTCATTATGAATTTAATGCTGTGTTATTGTTGCATATTTTTTTATGTAATTGTAAAACCTGAAGAAAATTTATCCCAAATACTAAATCGTGTTCTCAAATTATCATAATGTTGCCATTTATTTTATTCAAAAGAATGGATACTGAACAAAGAGCACTCTTTTCGATAACCTGCTATTCATCAGTTATATATACATTATAGTGAAGGAATGAATGAATTAGTGTTATGAACAACATTAATGTTGTTTAAATAACTTCGATTCAATAATACTGATAGATTACAGCTCAACAGCATCAACATAAAATAAGCTGAATGTCAGAAAAATTAGGGAAGATAATATTATAAATTCGTGAATTTATAGTTTCTACTGAAAGCCGGCCAGGGTAGTAGTAGGGGCTGGACTTGCTTCTTTTGAACACAGAGGACTGGTTGTTTGAGGCGAATTGCAATAGCCTCTGCTGTTTGGAGCATGCGGTACTTCGGTGATTTTAGCAATTTATTAGGCACCCGGTAGATGATGATAGAGAAGGATTCTTCCATGCTGGCTGGCTTTGTGGCCGGTTTGCACCAGATGGTCCAGTATCGAACTGTTAATGGTTTTAACTACACCTTCACTTAGCCATAGTGGGAGATGTTCTCGAGCACGAAAAATCAAGTTCCTAGAGCAATGACCAATATAACTCGCCCCACAAGCGTAGTTGAATCGGTAAATACAATTTGAAGTGGGCTAGCTAGTCGAGGTACTTCATCTTTCAGTCGAGGTAGCACCATCGGTCGTGTAGAGAATAAGACTTGTAGTTCGCCGGCGTTAAAAGTTCTTTGTACTGATTTTCTTAATTTCTTCGTAATTATCTCACTTGGTATATCGGCCTTGAATTGTAGTCGTATATAAAGTGGCTTCTTGTTTACCGACAGTGTGCAGTCCTTTTCCGCTTTGTCATGTGTTTCTTGATAAATTTGTCGGGATAGCCATTTTCGATCAAAGTATCATATATAATGCTTAATTCATCTTCAATTACTTCTTCTGAGCATATAGTTCTAACTCTGTGGCTGAGGGTCTTCACTAAATTTCTTTTGTACTTGATAGGAACGAAGCTGTGAAAATGTGTATATTGTCCTGTCCAAGTGCTCATTCTATGCAAATTTCTTTTATGCTACTATCTGGTTTCCTTGTAAGTAGGACATCCAGAAAGGCATTTCTGTCTTGGTATTCCTCTTCGCATGAGAATTTCATAGCCGAATGTACTTCATTGAATTGTTATTCCCTTCTTCTCCGAGTGGAACATATGACTTCACCAACACATCTCAACTATCTTCTATTTTCTGCTGCCCTCTTCAGCTTACCTCACGATTGCCTATTATCTCTTATTTCCTTTGTTACCCTCTCACCGACGCCCCACTCTTTGCTTCCCATTAGGATTCTTTCACTTGAGTGATGGCCTGCGTTGCGCACGATGTCATTCGACGACCTCCTCAACGTATGCCCAAATTCATCTTCATTTTCTCCTACATGTTCGTTGGTCAATCTGCTCTTGGTTGGTTTGTTCATTACCAGAGTTTCTTATTGACAATTCATTCTAGCCGGCCGGTTAGTCATTCGATCTTCAGTATGCAGCCATCAAAGGTGGCAGCTGTTGTTCAAGGTCTGTTACTTGTTGGAAATCCTTCTCGTGTAACGCAGTGCAAGTTTCTGATTGGCTGACTGACTTTACATTTTTGGTGAAAATCCGAATCTTGTTCTCATTTCTGGCTGAGTTAGTGTAGAAGATTTCCAAACTGGTTTCAGGTTGATGAGTGCTTATCTCGCCTTTCCGATTCTGGCTGGCTGCCTGGCGCTGACATCTTCATCCGTTCCCCTTGTAGTTGAAACGATGCTTGCCGCCTAGATAAGTTAAGAAAGTGACCTCTGCCAAGTCTCTCCCTTTGATAATGCTTGGTACTGGTTATTTTTGTTGTTGGTTGGTTGGCTGTCCTCATCAGCTACATTCATCTTCTCTATGTCCACCTGGAGTAGTCCTGTCGTCGCTACCTTCATTTTCAGGTAGTTTGTTGGTTTTCGTATGTGAATCTTCGAGTTTGTGTGACATTAAACCTAGATCATCTACATGCAAAATCCAGATCTTATCGAGTCTGCTTATTTGAACTGTATATTCAGAATTGTTTACGCTTTAAAGACATACTATTCATGACTGGGTTGATGAGTCAGTGAGTAGGTGTCAAAAACTCCACTTATCATCATGTTAATTCGTTTCATTTACCCTGTGTACTCATTATAAATGTATTTACAAATAAGAGTTGGAAATTCTTCGACCATTTGAATACCACATGCTGATGTTAACAGTTTTCCCGTGTAGATGTTTTTGTAAGTTGTCTCAGTCCATATTGACTTTTAAGCGTGTAACTGCCAGCACCAATTCTTGTGTTACTGTTAAATAGAAATAGTGTTCTAACGACAGAAGACAAGAGCCAGGCAACAGATCGCTTATTGGGAAAATCAACAGACATTTATAGATTTTTATGTACATTATTATTCGTTATTTGTTAGCAGAAAAACACTGTCTTCTGATTGGTTGTTTTCCTACTGAAGGTTATTCTGTCATCTATTTGTGGCCATTTCTTAGTCAGTTCGTTGATATATCTACCAATCATGTCCGCCCACGCTAAATCTGCCGTGATTGGTTGTTGCCTTTCCCCAAGGTTAGGTAGGCTTTGTTCTTGTTGTTTTATTTCTCATGACCAAGATTTGGGACGTAAATATTGATGACGTAAATTTCTGTCTACCAGTATTGACTAGCAGACAGCTCTCACCACAGTATTATTATGTGTGCAATTTCTAAAATATCTCTATTTATTTTTTGTTTTCCAATCTAGAAAAACTCGTCATGAAAATATTCTCTTGTTTATGGGTTGTGTTTCCAAACCCTGCTTAGCTATTATAACACAATGGTGTGAAGGTTCCAGTCTGTATAAACACTTGCATGTTCTAGAGCATCGTTTCGATATCTCAGAATTAGTTGATATTGCTAGACAAACATCACAAGGAATGGAGTATGTATTATTATTAATTTATTATTAATATTTTTTCTTGTTTTTTTTATTTATTATTTGAATGAATTCATGTATTTTTTTTAGTTTTGTCATGAGTATATATCTTCAATAGGTACGAATTATGGTGTGTACTTCGCCCGCCCCCCTCCCCGTCTAAGTAACCCAGGTGAATCGCCTGAATTTATCAACATCTTCATGTATGAAGAGAATAAAAGAAAATTCAACGAAGAAAATTTTCTTTTCGTCGGAGACATCTCAACTAGTAGGCTGTACACTTGTGTGTTTATAATGAATAGGTGGGGAAGTTCCAGAATTATATCTGGTCAAAGGTCAGATTATTAAAATTGTGTAATAAGTGCAATAAGCAGAAGATAGGTAGTGGTACTATTGTAGAAATATTTCAGGTCAAAGGTCAAATTAAAAATTACGATGTGTAATAATCTGGAATGTCGGGTAGAAAGTTATAATTACTCAGAAGTGGCTTTAGACCTGAGAATAAAAGAGATAAATTACGTAGTACTCAACGGTACGAAGGAAGAAAGGGTTAGAAATTTGATGAGGTTAAAAGTATAAGTATAAAACTTGGGCACTGTGGTAGAGTATAACTCCATTATGGACAAATAGCAATTCAAGGTAGTTACTAGATCAATCCTTGAGCACTTAGTGAACTGAAACCATCTAGCTCCACCAGAGTCATCTTTCAAGATCATCTACAAGGTGAGGCCAAATGGTACAAATGGCGTTTGGTTTCGGCTTTTGTGTATGGTGGGGACGCGGCGCTGGGATATAAACACAGGTCCTCCGTCACTAACTGAGGTTACTAAAGCTGTCACCAATCTGAAACTAGGCAAAACAGCGGGACCTGATGGAATGACTCCAGAGGTATTTAAGTACGGTGGAGACAGCTTACTGTCCGGATTAACTGAGGTACTAGGCAGCGTCTGGGAATCAGAAGAAGTCCCATCGGGTTGGTGTAAGTCACTGATTATCCCCATATACAAGAAGGGAGACAAGTCTTCCTGTGATAATCACAGAGGGATTAGCTTGACTAATATAGTATCTAAAGTCTTAGGCTCAATAATCATGCGTAGACTGAGTGGTGCTCGGGAAGCACAAACACGAGAGAGCCAGGCAGGCTTTAGACCAGGAAGAGGGTGTATTGATCATATCTTCACCCTCCGACAGATTCTAGAACATAGGCATTCCTACCGGCGTCCAACAGTCATTATATTTCTTGACCTAAAGGTGGCATTCGATTCTGTCGATCGGGAAGTTCTCTGGAGATGCTTGGCTGTAAAGGGAATTCCGAGAAAATATATTGCACTGATTAAGGCACTCTACTCGTACTCATACAGCCAGGTGAGGGCTTACGGCGAGCTGTCATCTGAACTGGTGACGACCAATGGTGTCCGTCAAGGATGCCCATCATGGCATCAGTCAATGAAATCCACAACAGTTGGTCTAAGCCACGTAGAAAGGTGTAGACTTCCAGGCTGGGGTCCTCGGGACGGTAAAAACAAATGGTTGGAAACAATTGGTGACATGGCTCAAAACCGTTCTCAGTGGCGCAGATGCATCCACTCCCTGTGACTTATGATCTTCAATGAAACTGTTTTGTATTTCTTTATTACTCCTTTGTCTCACACCTCTGCTCACTGTCTCTATTATGCTTTTCTTGTACTTTCTTCTCTTGCTTCGCGTGCTACACGGAATGTGGCGACTTGAACTTCCGCACATTTGTGCAAAGTTCTATGTCGAAAACAGACAGACAGACAGGCGCTGGCAATTCGTCAATACAACTCCGAACTTTGTATACGAAAAAAGTTTGTCCAGTCTCTTATTCTACCATGGTCTCAACCTCTTCACTGATCGTCCCTGATAGAAAAAATTTTTTTTCATAATTCCAATTTTTATTAATTTCCAGTTTCACTGTTTAGTTTACTTTAATAATTAATTCACTATTGTCACTTTCATGTGTTCCTTTTGTACATTTTTACACATGTTAAATTGACGCTCAACTACCTTTAACCTTATGAAATTTCTAACCCTTTCTTCCGTCGTTCCGTTGAGTACTACGTAATTTACAACTTTTTTCTCACTTCTAAAGCCACTTCTCAGTAATTATAACTTATTATATATTTTCTAACTGACCTTCCAGATTATTACACATCGTAATTTTTAATTTGACCTTTGACCTGAAATATTTCTACAACGTTTTCCGGCCGACAACTGCTACCTTGCCTTGGTGGTCGGGCTTGAATACCGCAGTGACCCAACAAGCTAAACTGGCTGGGACTCATGTCCCTGCAGGTCCTACCTACCACGTGAAGAAGGTTTTCTGGATAGCGGTTAAACTGAAAGCAGTTACCATGGGGTACATGGGCTCCTGTATCCAATCGGATCAAATGGTGCATGAAGCCATATGGGTCACCGGGAACCATGGGAATGCAGCTCCTGACGCTGCCCCACTGCCTTTCGGATTAGACTCCAAGTCAAAGGCTCGGGGGTGGTCCCTTAAGAAAACCACCTGCTTCGGTCTGGGTGCCCGGGCAGTAACTCATCCCTCATGCAACATTGTGTGGCGCATCTTTCTTGGTGCCATATTGTACCAAGTTTTTTTCTGCGTTGAAATAATAAAATAATCTCTACAATAGTACCATTACCTATCTTCTGCTTATTACACCTCTGACCAGATAAAATTCTGGAACTTTCTCACCTATTCACTATAAATACACGAGTGTACAGCCTCCTAGTTAAGGTGACTTCGATGAAAAGAAAAATTATCTTCGTTGAATTGTCTTTTGCTTTCTTTATGATTGATTGGGTATTTTCAGTGACTTGAAACAGAGGTTCGTGTATCTAGGACGGATGAGATCTCTAATTGTATAATGAAAGCATAAGCAGCTTACACCCACATAGGCCACCTGTGACACCTTCACGATGTTATCCTGACCATCAGAGGTCAGGTTCACACTGCTTTTTTACTCTCTGTCTTAGTTTACACCTATAAAACTCGTCCTCTTCGAGTTGAGGGTGTACAGTGATGCTGTGTATTCTATTCTGGGGAGGAGGATTTTGTTGAATTACTTGTATCCAATGACAGCATCATATAAAGTAATTCTGAGATTCGGTAGTGTGTGTTTATACATAGTTGAGGTTGTCTTTCAATAATAAATGATGATATCCTGGTTTGTAAGCAGAAAATTGCCACTTTTCTCCTTAAATACCTGTTGCAGTGAATCACTTTATATAATTTACGCTTATGTTTTGCGACGACTATGCAGATTTATTCATACGGTGGTCTCTAGGGAGATGGTTGTTGCTCACCACTTACTATACAAACAAGTCAGGTATATATAACCAATGTTGAACTTACTCCCTACCATCCTCCTTGAGTCTGTCTGTCTGTCTGTTTTCGACATAGAACTTTGCACAAATGTGCGGAAGTTCAAGTCGCCACATTCCGTGTAGCACGCGAAGCAAGAGAAGAAAGTACAAGAAAAGCATAATAGAAACATAACAGCCTTGAGACGTACAATAGCCTTGATGCTTCTCTCGTCGATTGAAAACAGGTGATTCCGCTACTAAAATATATATTCATAACGTGCCTGAGGTTACGATAGCTCATCTGTAGTCCACTTTTCGTACACATTGTGTCACTGAAGTGTTGTCGGGGGGAGGGAAACTCCGGTGCCGCAGTAGGATTACTGAGTTTTCTCTATTCTCATATTGGCGGTCAGAAATGCTACATGCAGACTATAGCTTTTAGCTTCTAGCCACATTAATCATTCCAGCGCAATAACCCTAAACCCTTCCAAAGGACTGTTGCTGCGTATTCTTTTGTAACACTGTATTAGCCGTCTGTTTCCCGATCTTGTTTTCAACTTGTGAATTAATTTCCTGTTTAATAATAATAATAACAACTTTATTCTCAACAGTGTTTATGTAATTTGAAGTCAATCGATGGCTGGTGACTAGAGGTACCTGCATTCCCCAGTGAGTGACCGAGCACTTCGATCCAATCAATCGATGGGAAAATCTAAAATTGAATTAGATAATTAATATGAGCCGTTACCGAAGATCTAGCTCTCGTAGCCCAAGTGCATAACGCTTTGGCGCTTGAAACCATAGTCACTGGGTTCCAGCCTCGGTGGCATCACTGTCACTCACTGGGGAATGCAGACACATCCAGATAAGGAATCCCAAATGGTTCGAAACTCTCACCATGGATCTCACCAGTTGACTTCATGTTACATGACCAGACATCGTGGAAGCATCTGCACAAGAAGCCGACATGTCAACCTGCGACCGAGCACTTTGGTCCATTCAGTTCTATGGGAAAATCTAAATTGAATTAAATGTTAATATAATGTACAGAATTTTCACTGGAGTTTATTGCATGACACTTTCTCTTCGTCCAGGATCTTCAAATAAAAAAGGTTGACTGACAGTAGATTATGTGACACAGTTCTATCTAACCTGAAGAGCAAACCAATCTATCATTATGATTTCTCTTATTTGACTCTTTCGGGAAATACATGATATTTTGTTGAATATCATTCATAAGAAGTCCAGGAGTACATTTTGTCAACCAAGGACACCATTCAGAAATAGTCATCTTATGTACTGGGGATAAGCTGCCATCCATTGACGATAATGCTTATTCACATGTTTAGTAGAAACTTGAGGACCAGAGGATTATGTTTGAAATACTCGCTAGAGTAAATAGTACTATTGGAAGTGGCCATATTTTACTAGATTTAAACAAACTGAATAAGAGAAATTATATTCAATATATGGTTGGAGGATTTCATCATCAGCTGACATCAGTTAGAGAACTATGGGAAAACCTTGGAGTACTACCAGACAGCTATTTAGTCTCAGTTCTGGACTCTTCATCGGTACTCACCCCCTTGGGTTCGAATACAGGGTGCAGAAGTTAGAATTTATGGGTTGGCCATTGGGTCAATCGGATCCCAGTGACTTAATGGCCTACCAACTAGCTCGCCTTGTAACCAGAATGTCCTGGGTTCGAACTCCTGTGGTGGATGTTTACTGATGAAGATTCCCAAACTGGTCTGATGAAACAGCTCTCCAGTACTTTGAGGTTTTCCACTGGTTCTCTAAATGATGTCAGCTCATAATGAAATCCCCCAACCAATCAAACTAAATCCCTGAAAAAATCAATACTTGAATATTCAATGTATATTGACAGAGGTTTTTCACTAGCCCAAGTTTTAAACAAGCCCCAACTGAATAATTTCTAATAGAATAGAGGTATTGAAACTTTGAGAAAAAAATAAACAAACTGTCTCTGTATGTCTGTCTGTCTTTTATAGTTATTATTTCTTTTTTATTTGTCACCTTAATAAACAGTTATTTACACGCTAAGAATATAATCCATCGTGATTTAAAGTCAAGTAATATTTTCTTACATGATCGTACTGTGAAAATCGGTGATTTCGGCTTGGCTACAGTGAAAAGTCGTTGGTGGAATACTGGCTTTCAACAACCTACTGGATCTATCTTTTGGATGGTGAGTAGTGTGCATATATATGTACATAAATACATATTTGCAAAGTCTATTTCGTTATTATTATAATGATATCCAGTCGCGTATAGTTACTCATTTCTGGAGTTCACCAATATCGTGCTACGCAATTGTGGAACAAACACAGGTTTTGTAATTAGTTACTGGCCCCTGTATTTCAGGTCCTAATGCTGCTCTCCACTGACTTGTGGATCAAACTGCAAGTCAAAGGTTCAAGAAGAGAAATTAAGTCATTAGTAAGTGTTCAAGCTGATCACGTAATAGGCAATTAAAGTTGAGAGACTCGGGAGAAATACAGTAATCCAGACAATGATTGATTAGATGTTAGTGGCCTAGTGGGGTGGGGAGGGGTAGAGGTGACGGCATGATTGTCACGTTTTTACATTCATGTAACGATGATCAAGGTAAGGAGGAAAGTAGTTGTACGATTTTCTTCTGAATACACAAACATACACATACAGGTGATCTGGCTTCTTCAGATGAATTCTGATGGCTTCACTCAGCTGTGTATGTGTAGAAGACGAACTAGTGAAGCTAAATTAAGATTAGTCGGAATGCGATAAATAACTTTCAGTGCCGTATTAACATTATCTACTTAATGCTTACTATCTCTACAAGGTGTGCGAAAACAGAGGTAGGAATAGATCTTGTTTATCCCTTGCTTAAATATTCAAGACGTTGTTCGCAAAATACAGTGGGAAACCTGCCCAGAATGTACACTCGCATTTCAGACCCTTACTCCTATCGTGTCATTAACTATTACATAATACCTTTTAATCTTTAGGAACTATTTTTGAGTGTCCGTATCAGTCGTGTCATCCTCCCCCTCCACCCCTTATTGTTGAACTATCGACTCCTATGGGTTTTAATAGACATATAAATATAAAACTGTACAGATTTTCAAGATGGTGCCGAATAGTTAGTGGCCTCAGTGTAGATAAGTGGTGTATCACAAGTCCTTTCGTACGATATTTTGGGAATGTATGTGTAACCTTGTGAAAAACAGTCATGATTGTGTGTGTGTGTGTTGTCGATATCCAGGGTTGGCAGTGTGGGCAGGCGCCCAAGAAGAGAACTGAATCCGGGGTATTCTTAATCGCCTAAAATATGCAATCGACTTGAACACTCACTTATAACTTAATGTCTCCTCTTTTTTTCATTATGCAATCCACTTGTTGTAACCACTTCTACCTTTCAATTGTTTGTATTGATTTTCTCGGTTAATTGTCACACATGCACACACACACACACACACACCAACCTGACATGTTGATACTGAGTAATTATTGTTAACAAACATATCGCTACCAGTAGATTGGCAAGAATTCTTTGTATTCTATTAAAAATGTTCTATATATATACATATATACTTCATATCTATCAGCCCTCGCTTAAACTTACATTCAATGTTCCCCTTTTTAGTATTTGTTTTGTAGGTCTTTTTTTCTCTTCACGTTCCCCAATGAAACATTGGGCTTCAAACGAGTGGCTTGAAGTTTCTGTAGTAGTTGTGTTTATTTTACAGGATGGGGTTGCTAGCCTCATGCCAAACCTTTCATCTTTACCAGCATTATTTCTGGCTTAGCTAGGTAAAGGAGTGCGTCGGTGACTGTGGATCGAACCCCGGACCATATGTGTATGGTCGGTGAGCGTCTTAACCTCTATGCCACCGACGCATGTTTTTTGTATGCATTTTGTGGTAATCATTTTCCTTGCACACGATTGAGAATATAACTTACACCTCATTGCAGTCGGAAATGAGGATGGAGTTCCCCCCTGACGACATTGGTTCGTGCAAGTCGTGCCTAGGGTCACGCGAATTGGTAGAAGTTGGAATTCATTGGCTGAACATTGAGTCGACTCCCAGTGGGTACGTACTACCGATGAATCTGCCACATTAGAATGAAACAGCTAACTGTCCAGTAATCTGACGCTGGTATTGTATAGTTCTCTCTAAAAATGATATCAATCCGTGGTCTTACTTAAAATAAAATACAATCCCTATAAAGTAATATTTATGGATTTATAACTGTAGAGCCTTGGGAAGGTGTAATCGAAATCACAATTGTTCACTCAAAATCATCTTATTTGTGTATTATTTATTATTGAGCAAATGGGACTGTTTTAATTGGACTACTGAGGTGTAATTATAAGGGCGTATTTTTTCCCCGTATTATTTTTATTTTTTGTGCACTGTATATATATGAATGAGCTTTTTTTTTTCAGGCTCCTGAAGTTATACGTATGGAGGGTGAAACACCGTATACAAATCTTTCTGATGTTTATGCCTTCGGTGTAGTTCTCTATGAATTGATTACAGGTCAACTACCCTATTCACATTATAATAATCGTGATCAAATTCTGTTTCTTGTCGGTCGTGGTCTGTTGAAACCAGATACAAGTGCTTGTCGAGCGGATATTCCACATCAACTTCAACATTTATCTATGAGTTGTTGTAGTTTTGAACGTGAAAAGAGACCACCATTTTCACAGGTGAGATTTTAAACCACTTTCTCGATCCCGCCCCCTCGCCTTTTTTCCTCACACCCGTTGTCATTGTTATTCTGTTTGGGCGTTAGATTTATTTTGTGGATCAGTTAGAACCCGACCGATAGCTGCTACCTTGACGTGGTGGTCGGGCTTGCACATCGCAGTGACCCAACAAGCTACACTGGTTGGAACTAATGTTCCTGCAGGCCCTATCATGTCAGGAAAGTTGTTAGGTTGGCGATTAGACTAAAAGCAGTTACCGGCATAGTGTAAGAATCTTTCTTACATTATGCTGGGGGTCTGTAGGCGAGGTCGTACTGCTGGGGAACAGGGGTGTAACAGCAGTGAGATGTTTCCCTCAGATGACCGCCATGCCAGCTTCGCTGTCTCTCCACTCCGAAGAGGGGGAGGTTAGAAAAGGTTGACCCTAAAAATTGTACATCCCGACTTACCCTACGGTGGTCCGTAACTGGCGGCAAGTTTACTAATACGGGACCAAACCAAGAAACCAGTTCATACAGGCCGTGTGTGACCGACCGGCCTCAAGCAGTTGTCCCCTTGGCTCGGCTGTCACGCAACACTAACCCTCTCTCTGTATCAGGTACCCGAAGAATCAACCAACTTCCACGACGTGGGTCGCCGGGAAGTAACAACCGCCCGCGCACTTCCAAAAGCAGACTGATCAATTTGAATATTGTAGTATGTGTATTATAACTTTTGGCTGATCCTACTTCATCTAGTAGTGGTTACATCACCTATTCGAATTTAGATGTCTTTATCTGTCTGAGGTCGTGTGGAATGCTGTCTACAGCAGTTAGTTAGTCATCTGTAAAACTCCGCCTTCTCCATTGTGCCTGCATTGTTTGCATATGCGAAACTTCGTATTATCATTGTAACTTTCCTACCTTCATCCTGGGAGAAGGAGATTAGGACTAACGCATCAATGATATTAAACGCTTACCATTCGTTGGATTTCAGAACCTGTCGTGTATTATAAATCAAAAATTAACATAATAATAGCAATAATGAAGCACATTAAAGAGGATATTTTACTCCGACGTGTAACTGAAAAAATACTTGACAATTATGATAAAGGGTATCTCCATTTTTAAAGTTTCATAGCGCTATCAAACTGGTTTCATCTTATGAACAACGAAACACTATCCCCCCATTTGTTTATTTCTTGGCAAACAGTCTGTCTGTCTGTCTGTTTTCGACATAGAACTTTGCACATACGTGCGGCAGTTCAAGTCGCCACACTCCCTCCTTGTAGCACACAAAGCAAGAGAAGAAATGCATAATAGAGACAATGAACAGAGGTGTTATACAAAGGAATAGTAATAATGAAGAACAATATAGTTTCATTAGAAATCATAAGTCACAAGGACTGGATGCATCTGCACCGGCTATTGAGAACAATGAGTTTAAGCCATATCACCAATTGTTTCTAACCATTGGTTTTTACCGTCCCGATGACTCCAACCAGTCAGGCAGTCTGTACCTTCCTACGTTGCTTAAACTAACTGTTGTGGATTTTATTGACAAAAAGTAATAATGCAGATGATGGTGAAATACCGCAACCCTTAAACTAACGTGTTATAAACTCCACAGCCCAAACAGTGTTTAAAAATGAGATTAGCATGAAATTGCACTTCAATTTACTTGGACAGCGTTCACATTTTTGACGGTGTAATAACACGACAGGTCCTTTTATCCAATGAACGATATGCGTCGAAGGTCACTGATGGGCGTTTGCACTCCATTGCAGCTATCCTTTAGGTTGATTGAGATTGGTTTCCAATGCGTAAGAGCCTTCAATTCTGCTCGTAGTTATCGTCTGGGTGGCTGACCAGAGTAGATTGTTGGCTCTTCAGTTGATAATTTTGACAGTCTACTTATATCCTGTGTAATCGTCAAGATTCCTAGCACTTCTATGCCATAGGTTCTTATTCCTTCTGCAATTCGGTCAGCTTTGCCATCTGTGAAAATTTTTGGTAGGGACATTTTTCGTATACTTTTGCTTTCGTTGACGTCAATACGTCCTGGACACTGTCGCAGAGAAGAATGGGTTCCTTTTTTTCTTTTATCTCTGGGGATTAGGTTTATTTTCCCTCCTTTTTCTGTGAATAGGAATGGCTAACAGACTAGGAAATCGCACCATTCAGGCCCTTAAGTGAAACGCTGATTGAAGGCGACAGATTGGGTGTTCTCGAGGGTTACATGGAAGAGATCATGTGAAGTGGATATGAGTGGTCGTTGGCAATTGGGGAGCCACTTCAAAAAGACTGGAGGGAACAGAGTGAGAGACATAAATGTGCTGTGGAAGCCCCGTATTCCAATGGACGAATACCAGTAATAATAATAATAGTAGTATTGCTTTTACTCGAGGTTAGGTGAGAGAATATTGTTCGCTCCCATCTTTTGTCATCTGTTCTGCTAATTAGTGGCTTGCTCTTCGCTCATGAATTGTTATACAAGCTTAAAGTTGAGTGAAATAGCCTTCTAAACTCTTTGTGTTTCATCTGTGTAGAAATTGGACACTGGAAGTATCGTAATTTCACATCAGTTTGTGAAAAAAGTGAATTTAGGTCCTTAGCTCAACCTTTAACTTATCTGTCGCTAACGAACACTAATATCTCCCCAAACCTAATCGTTACCTAATCTAACTTAAAACTAATCAGATATCCTGTGTAGTATTCGTGCACTTTTTTCAATAATTTTAATGAGTACAATCTTATCTGTCGAGTATTAGTTTGCACCGATTTCATTGGTTATAGGCTTTGAAATAATAGAGAAGATATATTATAGCTCAGGTGGATGATTTGCAATGAATAGTGTTCTCTAAGCTGGGTGGTTTAGTTGTGGAGTTTTCTGTGTGCAGACATTGTTTAAAAGAATTCAAACATACTGTAGCACCCTAGCGTTGAAAAGAATGGAAGAAAAAATACCTACAAACGGTCTTCAAAAAGAATGGTTATCCACAAAATTTCATCAAAAAGTGTTTAAAATCGAATCACAACACTAACAAGGAACCATCAACAAAGATCAGAGAGAAAATTCATCCTACCATACATGAGAAATATCTCTGAAATAACAGGTAGAAAATAATGAAACCGTTTGATATAGATATACCACACAAGCCAGTCCCCAATCAATTAATTCGATATTGTGAAAATCGAAAGATCCAACAGAAAAAGGAGATAAAATAAGTACCATTTACAAAATAAATTGTATGAACTGTAACAGGCATTACATCGGTCTAGACTATTTATTGTTTTTTTTACTTCTATTTCTCCCTCTCTCCCACCCCCCTCCCCTAATCAACAGATCTACCCATGCTTAGATTCATTGTATCGATCTTTACCAAAACTACACAAGTGTTCCTCTGAGCCAAATGTCAATGGTGCTGTTCGTATAGCTGCGGCTGCTGCCGTGGCCGCCGCCGCCGGTGCTGCAATAGCCCCAGGTGGAACTGGTACTTCCGGTGGCAGTGGTGGTGGTGCCGGTGGCGGTGACGATGTCATCATCACATGCGCTGCTGACCGTGCTGATGAAAATGATGGTGTTGAGATGGCGACGACGACAACTACGAAAACGATGACGACATCTGTCACACCAATCAAATCAGCATCTGATTGTTGTTATATCGGTTTATCATCACCAAGAACACCATACAATGCTACAACCACTTTAACAGAAGATTTCTTTTTCGCTGTTACCGCCACGCCCATCACTGATAAAAATAACAATAATAATACAAAATTGATTTCAACACCAGTTTCTGTGAGTCCGAATTCCAATGCAACAAATGACAATCATGAGAACAATCATGTTGTTGTTACTGTTGCCAGTGATGCGGTTAACGATGAGTGTACAAAGAAGGCTGGGGAACAGGACAACAACAACACCGATGGGGTTATCACTGCTACTGTTAATGCTACGGCTCCGAGTAAGGACGAGAAGACTACGATATCGATTACTTCAACCACAGGTGCTACAACCTCATCACCACCAGCACCAGCCAATGTGAACAAACGTACCATTGTGATTATCAATGAAACCGTGTGAAATCTGATCCGTTTATCTGATCAGTAGTGTAAGCCCTTTGAATTCTGTGATGATGTGATTGAATTTTTTTGTTCTTTCATTCCTTATGGCAGACTGTCACATCATTTTTGTGTTCTTTTTTTCTTTCTTCCAGTGTGCTTTTTTGTACAGTTCTTCAGAGAATATTAATATTAATAATAATTTGTAAAATTTTAGGCCTTGACAAATGAATCCTTTTTATGCTCTCCAAGGTTCCTGATTCTTATTATCATTGTTAGTGTGTGTGTGTGTGTGTGTGTACGCGTTCATGATTGCATAATATGACTTTATTATGTGATTTGATTTCTATTTATATTGATTTATTGATTTTCTGCTTGTTTTCTTTATTATGAGCAATCATCATCATCATTGTTCTTGTTATTTGTGTTTTTCTTTATTAGTCAGCATACTACGTGTTGTGATATACAGACAATTGAGAAGTAATGTATGTCAGTAAAGTGATGTCTTTATTTCTATTCTTTTTTCTTGTGTGTATCTGTGTGTGTTTTGTTAACTCAAACCTTGATCTAGGTACCATAGTTGGTTAGTATTCATACTTGTCGTGCTATTTTTAAAGCAAAAAGAATGTGTTTTTTGTGTCGAGGCGTCACACAATAATACATATTTATAAACATATACTGGAGAGAGAGAATATTCATATGTTTCAATGGTGCATCGTTGTCGGTGTCAGAATGTTTGCCGACAATCTAATCACACACACACACACCCTTCACATGGTGCAGGGATCAATTCCTGTCAGAAGTAATTCATCATATCAAGTGGAATCCAAATTATCTAAACTGAATAGGAATGATGAACTAAAACGGGATTTGACCTGGTTACAAGACACCCCCCCTCGCACTCGCCCATGAAATGACAAAGTCAACACGAATGTGATAAGCAATTTTATTATGTAAATATACGCTGCTTTTATAATTTTATATACTTATCAAATTCAACAGTAATCTACACCTGATTTTATTTATGTCCAAACCAAGTTCACTTTTAACGGTTTGAAAAAATTTGGGCATTGCGTATATGATATTCATTATAATAGAGGTTTTTGTATTTCCCAATGAATGAAAAACAAAACGATATTGTTTTTACTGACGTTTCGCTATTTAATGCTAATAGCTTTATCAAAGTGTATTATTAAACCGGAATTTACAAAATCTCAGCATATATATAACAAAGAGTTAAGGGGTGAGAAAAATATAGACTTAGTTCAACTTAAAAGGACATATTGAAAGTCAAAATAACAATGAAGATCGTTCAAGCCAAATATCAAAGGTAATAGTATATCTGTTATTATATCAAAACAAAGTTTACTAACTTGATCATCGTTCGTTAGTCTGGGGTCATTTTTGGTTGTCAAGTTGGTGATTTGGTAAAGATAACAAAATGAAGTGTAGATTGTTGGATTTTATCAGTGTGTAAAATTATAAAAGTAGTGTGTGCTTACATAGTCAACTTGCTTATCACATTTGTGTTGATTTTGCCACTTCCTATTCGTCAGGCAATTTGGATTCCACTTGATATGAAGTACTTCTGACATTAGATGTTCTTTATGATTTCTGAAGTTTTTATGGATTATTTCAATATTGTCAAAATCAATTTTGTGGTCTGATTCTATAGCATGTAGACCTTTGGCTGATGATTTTTCAAGTTTTTCTAGTTCATTTGGATTTCTTGGTGGTAGAAGAGATGCTCTACGGTGTTCATTTCTTCTGATTTTGACTTCTCCAGATGTTTGTCCGATGTGAAATCCGGTTTAATAATACTTTGAGAAAGCTATTTGCATTAAATAGCGAAACGTCAGTAAAAACAACAATATCGTTTTGTTTTTCATTCATTGAGAAATACAAAAAAAGTTTATTATAATGTACACCTGATTTTGTTATCTGTACCAATTGGCCAATTTGACAACGGAAGAATGACCCCATGATGTGAAATAATTATTAAGTTGTTATATATGAACTGAGATTTTGTAAATTCTGGTTTAATATCACGACTTTGATAAAGCTGTTAGCACCAGCATTAAAAATAGTGAAACGTCAGTAAAAACAACAATATCGTTTTGTTTTTCATTTATTCACTGGGGAATACAAAAAAACGCCTTTATTATAATGAACTGTTACGGATTTTCTAGTATTGGTTTGGTAGGGAATTTGTTTGATTGCATGGAGGATTTCATCATGAGCTGACATCAGTTGGAAAACCACTGGAAAACTCGGGAGTACTGGACAGCTGTTTCATCCTAGTTTGAGACTCTTCGACAGTACGCACCCGCCGTCAGGGTTGGAACCCAGGACCTTCTGGTTACAACGTGAGCTCGTAGACCATTGAGCCACTGGGACCCGATCCAATGGTTCTTGAAATCTAACTTCTGCCAATTCACGACATAGCGTGACCATTTCGTAATGTCTTCTTTGATAAGTTACTCCCTCATCTTCTAACTTCTGTACCCTACTGGTCACGGCTTCCCACCAGAACCCTAGGTTAGCTACCTGAATAGAAACAGTCGCTAGTAAGCATCAGATTACGGATTTGATTGACTAATTCCATGTTTTCGTGTGACCACCGCTAGCTCCTTTTCGCGAACTTGATCCTAGGTCAGCAAACATTGCTCGTCGAGGGAGACGATAGTAAGGCTTATGTAACATGTTTTTGTAGCCATCTCAATTGATATAACTTCACAACCTCATCTATTGATTTCCTCTTCTAACCACCCCGAACACTCGACGCCTAACCTCGATGTTACTCACCTAAAACGTGACATAGAATGGGGGCATTTATGATTAAAAAGAGGTAGTTATTTCGCGTCTTCAACTTTCAGTAGTCATGTCTCACTCACACCCATAAAGGAGGAGGATGGAAGGAACTGGTGGGCAGTGCGCACGTCCTTTAATCGATAAACAGCTGGACATCATTTCTACGCCAGATAGGATATAGGTTGGCGAATGCCACATGAGCATTTTGTATCCGTGCTGGGATTTCTTCAGTGATGGACCCACCGGCACTGGCTGATGCAGCTTCCCAAATAAATAAAGCAGTCAACATGCTCTACCACTTCACTCAGTATCTTTAAGCAGAATTAAGTCGCATGCCAAACATTCGAAGATTGCAGCCCAAGGTGTTCAGGAGACTGCATTTTGTCAACATCTTTACTTAGGAGGGAGGACTATATTGTCTGTATATTCTAAATCGACAAGACTATACTCTGGTAACAAGCCAATCCATAAGTTGCTGAATTCATTTAGGATTAGTTCCAGAGGTCAGGTCAGTGGGCATCTCTGATGGACATCACTGGCTGTCATGACGTCGGATGACAACCCTCCGTAAGCTGTTAAGCGGCTGTGTGAATTCGATTAGGGTGTCTTGATTAGTGATATGTGCTTTGCCTGCACTCCTTTCATCAACAAACATTTCCATAGTACCCCTCGGTTGACGGAGTGGGATTCTGCCTTCAGGTCAAGAAATATGGCAGTTGTTATTCTTTCACAGGGGGACCTATGCTCCCATCAGCGTGGAATTGAACCTATGACCTTAAGATTATACAGTGGGATGGCAACGAATAACCCATGTATTCTGACTTTTGCTTACTGGCGATATAAAACACAACTGCCAGGTGATGTCATGGGTTGTATTCCCGATAGGATCATGCTTGCGTACTGATGATCGATCTCAAAGTCAGATCAAATATCTATTCAGTATAGTTTGGTAGTTCAGTGGTTCTCCAAATGGTGTCGATTCTTTATGTATTTTGATGTGAAACAGATCTTCACATGTCTATTCTTGTAGGTTCATGCATCTAATAAAGTGATAAAAGTGGGTTTTCATTACATTTCTGAGAATGTGTTGATCAGCAATGCGTTGGTGATAAGAAGCGGCCAAAATTCAAATTTAAATCAATGGCTGGCTGTACAGGTAAAAGTGTTTTATTCCTCAAATTTAGATCTAATTTACGATATGGACATGAAATAACCTCATTGGACAATGTCTTTCTCTCATTCTTTAACCTTGGGACGACCACCAACCAATCAGAACAATTTACTTTCCACTGGTCTAGTCGACTTTTGATGTGGCTGGCTAAAAAGGTCTGTTACCTTCTGTCACTATCTAGAATAGATGTCTCATTTACCAGGCTGTTAGACACATTTAATGTGTGTGTGAGGACTGATAGTCTTACCCAGTTGCACAGGCTGGAGTAAGTTTGGAGCAGGATTCGAATCTGGGATTCATTGTCTGAATGTACAGCGCTTAAGCCAATAATACTTCTGACAGCTAATGAACAGATTTTTGTTGTTGAAGTCTTTGTCTAACCGATGTTTGAGACCAATCGATACTCAGGTGAAATAAGTCAAAATGTTCACTCTTTCGGGGTGGGATATATATCGATGCGGTCATAGTTTGTTTGATTACTAGTTAATTCATATAAGTATAAGACGTGGACACTGTGGTTGAGTATAACTCCATTATAGATAAGATTTTATTTTGATAAATCACACAGTGGTGTACAGTAATATTAACTGATAACCACGTCTTGAGCACAAATTGTTACTGCTCATAATCATATCAAGTTATTCACACAACTTTTTCCTTCATTTATATACATGTGTGGAATTGACCAGATATTTGAATAAAATTCAATATGTGATAATGGGCATTCAGAAATAATAATACGAGTGTTATTGATAAAATACAATTAGATGGGAAATAAGATGTTTTCTAACTGTGGTGGATTGCATTATGCGGACATTTGTGCATGGGAGCGAGCAGATAGTGATACATTAGACTGATGATTTATATTTAATGTCACGCAGACATGAAGACCAACTGCCGAAAACTAACAACTTAGCAGAAGACACAGAGAAGACAGGACTTCAAGTATGAACAGAGAAACAAGAGATGACGCAGGTAGCTAGCCAACACATTAGCATCAAACATCCATAACTCTCAAAGGAAGAAATCTATTGGAAGCC